TGACTAGCAAGGTCAGGTTTTGTTCCTCGTCCTGCAAACCCGGATGACTGACTCCCTCTTCCTACTCCCGCATGAGCTGGATGTCTTCGTCCGATCCCAGTGAGAAGTCTTCCCTTCCTTGAACTCAAGCATGAGTTCACCACGGGCCTTGATGATAGCGTCATCGGCAATGGAAATACACTGCTCCCTAAGAGACTCGATCTTTGTGGTCTTCTCGGCCAACTCACGCCTCAACTGCTCTAACTCACGCTCACTCTACCCTCAGACGTTGCTGAAACTCTTGCTCGGCCTTCCGGGTTGCTGCCTCTTTTTAGCGCAAGCTGGTGTTGGCCTTAGAAACATCCTGTATCCGTTTCTCCTACGCCACGACAGACTTCCTCAGATGAAGACTGCTAGTGAGTACTTGCACAACAAAACTTGCCATCAGAACGAAATTCAGGAACAAAACCATCAAATACTATGTCATACCTGAACGGCACGGCTCAACCCCAATCAGCCGCAGCAACTGCACCTATCTGGTTCAGACGCACCTCGTCTGCCGAGAACAAAAATGAGTCGACCAGCTTACTCATAGTAGTCGCATCAGAGTAAGTTGACTCTTAGCCGAAATCGTGATGGTAATCGTCCCAGCCTCTTCATCCATGACTGCGGTCTGGACGACCCAGCTCCAGCTTTAGGTTGTTGACTCGACGGCTGTTGACTCCACGTCGCTAACACATCCTCTGCTCTCCTGTCCTCATGGCTAAGGACTTCCTCATCTTTTCTCTTGGCGTCGGACGATAGATTCGCTCGCACTCGGGACGGTCAACTTCTTCATCAGTGATTCTGCAAGTACAAACTTTCCAACGTTAGTGGGTTCAGCCCAGACTCACAAAAAATGATATGGTTGCAGTATTGACTCAGAAGCACATCCCAAGTCTGCTTCAGCGAGGGGAAGGGAGTAACTCTTTGTATCGCCTCTACTCCACCCAAAGAATGCTGGTCCTCAGGTTGGACTCTGCTAGCACTACTCGCCAGTCCCTCTGCTCCAATGGGATGTCTAACACTTTTTGGGTCGCAACGTCCAGCCGTCTTCGCTCTGCCTAGCCCAGCCCGATTGAACTCAAGCTCTGTAAACAAAAAACACAATCAAGATTTGTAATCAAAAGTAAAAAGAAACAACCAAGTTCTCACCAGTAGCTTGCTAGCCATCGGGATCTCGCCCTGACCCATCTCTCCAAAAACACTTGACCCCTCAAGAGAGTATCGTCCTTCCAGTTTTTATCATTGGACCGCATGTCGGTCACCAGGTAAGACCGATCATGCCTCAAGTTCAACAGATACCGACCCTTCTCCTTATCATTCTCTTTCAAGAAGTACGAGTACAGCAGCTCGTGCAGCCCAACCTCACTTGATTCCGAACATAAGGTCCTCCAAACCCATCAGCAATCTCCAAGCTTACAGAACTGAGATGGGGCAATCATGAAGTGGTTCAATACCTTCCACGAGGCGAGGGACGGGTAGCCTCAACCCATCATGAAACCACTTCTTGTAAACACTGTCCACCTGGTGCCTCCCAATCAACCCGCTTGTACCCGCAGCGTCCGGATATCACCAACTCGGAATGTGATACAGTTCGGATGCACCACACATCACTATCCTTCAGCATAGGCAAATAATCTCTAGTCAAAATCCCGCTGCCCTGTTGGCTCGGCTCTTCCTCAGCTACTACCGGAAGATGGACTATCGGCCCCTTCGAAGTCTTCCCCACTTCTCCCATGCCTGCCCGAGCTACTCGACCAACCTCACTCGTCCTAGGGGCAGCCACACTAACTCTAGTCGGTATCCAATCAGAACGCCCCCTTCGGGCATCATCACTATGGTAGGGGCACGCTCGTACTCATCCTCTAGGTCTGCCATAATCCCGCTCGAACTAGCTGATTGGGAATCTAACATCTGGCTTGATCGCCCAACCCGACCGACAGACTCAAGCCTGCTCCTAAACTCATATAATTCTGTCAAGTGACCACTCGGTCTGAGCTACCGATCAAACAAGCCCACAAGCACTCAGTTATTACTCGCCTCTCAGTGTCATCGACCTAAACAAGTTCTTGTAAACCCTGGTCAACCCTCCCTGTCGACCGACCGACCGACCTAGTCCTAGATTCAAGTCTCCCTTTGCTCGCCCTAAGTGACCGATTCGTCTTCAAGCTCAACCTATAGTCTACTCACCCTTGCTCACCGACCTAGCAACTCAAAATTCCCCACTCGGTCTGGGTGACTGATCAACCCATATATCCAATTCGCACGTCCCCTTATCACCCGGTCAGATAGACCGGACGTCCCACTTTTACACAGACTAATCAATCACTCGATTCGGTTGGGCAGACCGACCGAGCAAAATCAAGGTAATGCCTAAAATCGACTTCGTCCTCTCGATTCCGTCCAAAACGACCAAGAAAATACAAAAAATCCAGCCACTTGCCGGAAACTTACCAGAAATCCAAAATTCACGCCTATCAGAAAACCAAAACTCCAACACTTCTAAACTCTTCAAAACCAATCAAAACCATTCAAAATTTCAAAATTTCATCCTATTTTACAAAACTTTAGCAAACAACCAACAAAAAGAAAGGCGTTGTGAAAGAAAGGTTTACCGTGAAAAGCCACCTTCCGCGGGCAGAATCCACCGTTGTTGAGGAAAAACTGGAACGAAATGAAGAAAACGAGAAAAAAAATTTCTGCAGAAAGAGCGAAGAAGTGCGAATGGGAGACGAACAGTCCACCCATTTATTTTTAAAAGGAAATCTGACAGACCAAGACACGTGGCGGCCTACGATTGGACGGGAGTCAACACGTCTTTTCATTTTCCGCCTCGAAAACCAGAAGCGATCGCCATCGTACACATGGCAGGGATCCAAGAAACCTAGGAAACGGTAGCGAAGCCACTTCCCATCGTCCTGCCTTCCCGACCAAGCCACCACGCGACTACCAAAATGGACCCAATTGGCCCCATGATCCACAGCCCGTGCGAACCTCCCGAATGGTCGACCAGCTTCGAACGGCCGGCCTGAGCTCTCTGTAGGTAAAAAAGGTAGGAGGCTTCGCCTATTTGTCCTTCCAGAGCGGACGACGGACAGCCAATGGTGAAGACTTCCACATTTCTTCCATTAGATTGCCCGAGCACCCCGACCGCGAACATTCAGTTTAATGCTCTTATTCATTCGACCCATCCTGCCGAGCGGACACCGTGGCAATAGAAACACCCTTACCTCTCCAGTTGCAAGACGTATCGAACGAGCTCGTGAGCTCCGAAGCCTCGTTGTCTGTCCTTTCGGCCTTTCACACCGATCAGGCTCACCACTTTAATAATGGCATACTCCGAACCAGTGATGGATACTTAACGACCCCCGACCAAGAATCACCTGCAACGATCGGATCAGCTACATCAACAACCGGTCATCCAGGAAGAAAACCGAGTGCCCCTCGATCGCTTCCTACTCTCTGACTTAAGAACTCTTAACTCAGAGAGTGGGGGGCAAACAATTAGGGCCAAAAATCGTCCTTGGCCCAAATAGGAAAACGGGCCCGATAGTGAAGAAGAAGCCAAGCCCAATCCCAATGCGACCCAATCCAGATTAGGCCCATTTGATACAAGATATGGCCTGCCCAAGCCATCTGGGCCACGGCCTCCCAGTTCCAGCTCACTTCCTGAGCCTATAGGCGAGTTCAGAGCCCACGCCCCCAGGGATCATTTTCCTGTTCCTGTTCAATCTCCTATTCGGAGTCACTTTCCTGTTCCTGGTCACTTTCCTACTCAAAGTGACTTTCCGTTCAGATCACCTTCCTATTCGACGCAGGTAAGACAGCTCACCACCCGCCCTAACTTTTCTAGGTTGCATCAGAGTTACACTAGGACTCCTACTCCCACCGGATTGGGAGACCGACAGTCACTATATAAACAGAGGCCAGCCCTCTCACAAAGGGTTCTACATTACACCTTCACACCCGAAGCTTTTACTTGAGACTTCACATCACTGCTGCGTAGTCACAGTCTCCGACTAGACTTCCGGTAACCTCTTTACTCCCTAGCCCTCACTATACATCGCTCTTTCAGCCTTGCTGACTTGAGCGTCGGAGTGCCTACGGCAAACACCACCCCGTGTTTCCCGTTTGCTTCACGCGTTTGTTTCTCTACGTGTGCAGGTGCAGCAATCACTAGTGGCCTCAACCTCACGAGATCAGACCCCCCTTCCGTACAGGTAGATTTTATGTCTACAAGATCTTATAACTATTAATCAAATAAGAATCTTGTGGTTTATCATACTAACAATCAAAGATGTGGGAATATTTTTATATTCTCAATAAAAAAAAAAAAAAAAAAAAATCGTAATTTTTGGAAAAACTTAGAAAATATTATTAAAAAAATGTTTGAAGCTTATCCATCTATACGTAGATTGAATCTTGGTTCAACTAAATCATCATCATAACTCAGTGGAAGGTGAAATCCTAATTGTGGATGGTGTGCTAAGTGCTACCCAACTAAGGTAATTAATTTTGCAATTAGTAGACTATGTAAATGGTAGGTGGCCAGATGATGTAATATAACATTAATTAAAGAATAAAATGTTAGAAAAAGGTTTATTTTTCCTTTTTTTTTTTTTTTACTAATATTTAATTATTTATTTGGCGTTCTTGCATATTATATGTACTATTTTTAAGTTTTTTTTTATAAAGAAAAATCCTATTAACTGAAATAAATAAATGAGAATCTTCTAGATAGAAAATGACTAAATTAAATTTATAAGAAAAAGTATACAAGTTGTTTGACGAGGAGGCTTATCTTTCCAAATTCACGTGTGTGGAATGGAATGGTTTTCAATGATTTAATGATTATACAAGTCAATAAAGCTAAGCATCAGGTTAACCAATCAGAAGAAAACTGGCTTTTCACACCTAACGTCCAGGAAAAAAAATAAGTCTTTTAATCTAGATGCATGCACTTTTTTGTTTTTTTGTTATCTGAAATCAAAACTCAAATTAACAGATAAGGTCTTAAGTTACACTGTTACAAACATCTTAATTAATGGAACTTGAAGGGCTTGTAGGTATTGACAGCCTGGTTCAAGCCTTGAATGGAGCCACATGCTGCGGCCATGGCAGCCAGCAAGCACACCAAATTCAGAAGCTGGAGACTCAACCATTTGATACTTCCTCTTTTAACATTTTTTCTCACAATGTACATCTCCAGAGGGAAATAAACTGTCAAGGGCCAGTAACCAACGGCTCCAAGAAGTGCAAGTACTCCATTGAAGAACTGCAATGCCATGGAAATTACCGTTGCCATTACCACAAATATCGTTCTCCAACTTAGCCTGAAGAGATTGACGCTAAACATTGACTTAGTCTTGCTGATGTTTAGAGGGTATTCGTGGCCTATGAACTTTGAATTAGGCCACATGATGCTAGCCCTTGACTCGACCGAGCTGAATACTGGTTGAGACACTACCTATTTATCCAAAGATTCACTAAAAATTAAGGATATTTAATTGGGATTGTATTATGTTTTATGAGACACAAGAGGATTAAGAGAAAACCTGATATGCTCCCATGAGGTGCACGACAATGAAGAAATTGGCTAAATCAATAAACCAAAAAGGCTCGTAAAATCCAAAGCCAGTCAACATGTTGCCCGGCTCATGGTTCCCTAATGCGGCGTAGCCAAGGCAGCCGCATACCATGTTCAAAGTTGTGGCTGTAAACGTAGCTATTACGTTAGCCTTCTTCATAACTTTGTTTTCAGGCTGTGATGACCTCAATGTGTTCTAAACATTTATGGGAAAAACATAAAGACATACATTAGAATGATTCACTACAAAAGTAATACTTGCAGTTAAATTTAGACTCAGACCATACATGCTTAAGTTCAAATTATTTCCCCAGTGATGCAGAGCCGATTAATGGGAATTAAGTCTTGACAATTTATCAAATAATGGGTGGCCATAGGTTCGCTTACTTGGATTTCAATCAAGATAGGAGAATATGCGCAAGCAAATGTAATGTCCCCCAGTGCTCTAAACATTTTCCAAATTTTCTCTGCAGCAGTTAAGTCCAGCCCAATTTCCACTCCTGTGAGAGTGGTCTTTTCTGCTTGCCCTGTTCAAATCTCAAAGACTTTTATGGTAAGGAATATATGCTACTGCTGTTTGTTGATATATAACAATCGTTAGAGCCCATCATTGGGGCCTATGTTCATCTATAACCATAGTAACACTCCACCGAATAACAAGAAATTAATGGTTAATTGGTAGAAAGAAAAACACCCAAGAAATTAACTCATTTACCTGAAACAATCTTTACAAATGCCAGCCCCATTCCAATGCCTGAATACGAAAAAGACATGATTGCAGCGACGGTGGAGAGCCATGATAGCTTATGAAAGTTTGGGATTTGAGACAAAAGAATTTCAACAATTCCAATTGCAATCATGTATTGATTATTGGATAACTTGCATGGCGTGAACGAAATAGAGACAACAACAGGAACAAAATATAATAGTAAAACAAAACAAACAGTAAACAAAGAAAAATAATACGCGCGATTTACCCTGGTTCACCCAATGTGGGCTACGTCCAGCTGAGTCAATATTATTGCAATATGTCTCACCTCCCTCGTTTACAATGAATGAATTGCTCTCTCACTCATAACAAGAGAAAAGTATGTTTATATACTAGGTTTAAGAGATTAAACCTAGTTTTACAAGGATTCTTATTCCTAAACCCAACCCAAAAAGGAATTACTAACTTAAAAGAAATCCTATAGCGGGACCCCCAAGTGCGTCTCCATTACCCATTAATGCTGAAGTAGTCGACAACTCCAACATGGCGCTCCATGGCCTTCTTTGTGGAAACAATTCGATCTGCGTATGGCCCTGAAAGTTTGTTGAAAAAAATTAAATTAAACATAGTAATTAGCTCCAGCTTAATTAAAAAGTTAATTAATGTAGCTTAATATGATTATCTTACTCCATGCTTATTGATGTTGTGATGGTATAGCCTACTAGCATCCCAGTCAGGAGTATAAACTGGACCAACTCACAGACCTTGTTCTTGTTTCCACCTAATAAATATAAACCATCCAGAAAAATCAAAATCAGATTCAATATAACTTTACCTTGATGTGATTGGATGTAATTCTTACTTTGTATTGTACGATATATATAAACAGTAAACTTACCTAAGTAACATTTTACAGCCTCCCCATATGAGTAATTTCTCTTTCCAGAGGCCAGTGACAGCACTCCAGATCCTACTATGGCTGTAATTATATGTGAACTTGCAGTCCACACGGTCCCTGTGTAACCTCACCAAATTAGAATTATATATAGCTTCAAAAGTAAAAGTTACTTTGACTGGGAATAAAATTTACCCCACTGTATTAGTGATCTTAAATGCAATTACAGACCTGCATTTACAAGCACTATAAAGTATTCAGATTTGATTAATTATCATTGTCCTTTAGCCATTACTTCAGCGAGGATAAATAAGAAAATGTGGAGCCTAAGCAATAAGAATGCATGCATCTGGTTTTGCTGGTCAAATCTCTGCCAAGAAGCCTCGTTGCCAATAGATGATAGGACCCTCTTACGTATATTTGACTTCCTTTTACCATGCAAGGAAACGCTTGGCCACAAGTTGGTTTGGGTTTAACATAGTTATTATCGGATCCTCACTGAAGAACATGCATGCTTTGTTTAGATATGAATTCAGATTATGTCAAACACAAAGGTTACATGCATGAAAAGTATAAAATTATACACGGACGCTTGATCCATCAAAAAGAAAAAACAAAATCATAAGTTGAAGGCATATGTGTATAGGAGTTAAGACAGGATGAATACCAGTTCTTTTATACCTTCCATCATCATCAATCTCCCTATCTGCCACTTTGCTAATATCCATACTAGATTCACAAGATATCTCTTCTTGAATATGTTGAACTATCTTGCCCATATCATAATTAACTATGTTTACTTGAACAAGCAATGTGTACTTGGAAAGATTGTACTATTCAGTGGTCGTTATATGAAATAATCACAAAGTTGATGAATAACAAACAAAAAATTGGCTTGCTTTACTAAAGGGAGGAGAAACAAAAGTAGTTCTTGAAAAAATTGTTTTGTTGAGAGTATAGTCTGAGAATGTGCACTATCCTGGCATCCTAGGACTAATATTTGTACTCTATTGAGAATGCAGTGCAGGCAGACTTTTTATTATGTATGTAAAGATGTTGCCTGCAGGTTACATAAGCTGAGGTGTGAATTTCAGGCCCTACGGTTCATTACAACATCTACGTTAATACAATTGGAAAATAGGACACTCGTTTGCCACATTTCAACCATTTCCTGAATGTATTGAATAACTTTTGCATGTTTAGTGGTGAGCATTTATTAAGGTCTTATCTTCCCTTCCAAATCGGGAGAAGGACATTTTCCCACCCAAGGTTTGGTGAAATGACCCTTTTCCACCCTTCAAGTTTTAAAATGACACTTTCCCACCTTTCGTTAAGTTTTGTTATATTTTCTATTAATATTTACTTAAAAAGATGAAAATACCCTTACTTATTTGTCTTTATAAATTTTTTATTATTTTTTAACTAACCAAAAAGTCAAATATTAAAAAGTTAAAAAAGAAAAAGTAGTTAACTCCAACTAAAAAGTTACGAGTAATGTTATAGAATTGTTTAAAGTTAAATAATCTTAATATTTATTTATAAGGTCATTAATATCTCATCATTATTATTCAATAATCTACTAAATTTGTAATATTTTTCATTTTTACTAATTAACATAGAAAATCAATATTCCTAATTAATTAAATAAACAAAGGAAAAAAAAAGTATCTTTACATTTGAACTAATGAATAATCACTTTAACTTAACTAAATTTTAATTTATAATAAACTATTTAAGGGTATTTTCGTCTTTTTAGTCAAATATTAACATAAAACACTAATTGAATCTGATGAAGAGTGAGAAAGTGTTATTTTGAAACTTAACGGGTGGGAAAAGTCGTTTCGCTAAACCTTGGGTGGGAAAATGTCGTTCTCCCCTTCCAAGTCCGTTTATTATGCCAAATTGGGAGAAACCTAATGAGAGTTGAAAAAGTAAATTTCTTTTTCTCTCAAAATATTGGGCTTTAGATAAATTAAGATGATAAAAACAGTGATTAGGAACCCAACCTGAGGTGTCACCCTGTCAAGGGGTCAGGTCCCTGGTTGACCAATTAAAATGGTTAAATCGATGGTCTGACCCGTGATAAATAAGTTTAAAATCTAGTAAACACACCTCTAATAAATCTATCCGTCCCTACAAGTTTGATTTCTATCAAACACACCCCTGCGACAGTTAGGGTGTTGATTTTTCCAGCCAAATTTCAATTGATTCCAACATAAAAAATACAATCAGACACCACCCCTTAAACCACCCGCCTCTACTCTACAAAACCCTTCTAACCCCGGCACTTGATAGCCCTTTGTTTGTCGACGGTCAAATTACGGATTTTGGGAATAGTAAAAAGCCGTAACCCGGCCTAAAGAAGGCCCTACGTCCTTGTCGAACTGGTTAAACTAGCCGGTCCGAGCTGAGTTCCTAATCACTGTTAAAAATTATGAACTTGATATCTTTTATAGGCATCGGTTGGTCCCAAACTTGTTCTATCAACATTTTGATTCAGTTACAAGATAATACTGCCAAACCTAGAATTCAGATTACGTAAGAGAAAATTCAGAATTCCTTAAACAACAATGTTTCTCAATTAACTTTTACCCATTTATTACTTCTAAAACTTATTACAAATTGAAATACACCGGTTTTTTTTTTCCTAACATGGATGATTGATAATCAGATTAAGTCGAGTATAGTACTATAGTGTGTTAAGCATTGATCATTACATCTGCTACTTTCAGTATGCAAATAACATGAAAAGAATCGAGTTACACGGAGAGCAGCCATAATGGTCAAGCCGTGGCTCAGCTTAAAATCCGTTTGTGAACTACATCTCATAAGACTGCTCCAAACATATAATCAATACAAATGAAGAAAATTACATTAACATAAAACTGAAATTACAGAACTTCATATAGATTGGTTTTCTGTTTTCTTTGACCAAAAAGGAGTATGAAATAAACAACTATATTGAGCAAGGAAATGAGTGCACAACAAATTCAACTCACGATAATAATAATCGCATTGTGTTCATGGATGATGACAATACGCCCACGAAAAACACATTGGAACTGCTGATTAAAAAGCATTGCTGTTTAGTGGAGAAAGCTCGTTGGTTTAATGCAAAGATTTGTGCTTCGTCTGACCCATCATAGAAAGCCTTGGCCAGGGCGTTCCAGATTTCTCGTGCGGTGCGTATCCTGAGATACCGCTTCATAATTTCAGCTGACATGGATGTCAATAACCAGCCCTTAACCTTCTGATTTTCTACATACCACTTTGCATAAGAAGCATCAGTCTTTGTCGGTTGAGGTGCTTTTCCCATAATATACTCAAGCTTTTCACGCCCTACAATATGCATCTCCATGATTTGGGACCATACATCATAGTTCGTCTCATTAAGAATGATACCAGACTTGAAGCCAGTGTTTTCGGATTGCACATGTATGACTGGTGTAGGTGACATGGGTGTAGGTGATTCAGGTTTGTTGTCAGTCATGGTACAAGGAATAGATGAAGATTCAAGTTATAATGATACGTATGTGTTGTAGCACAGAACAATTAAAGCAAGGGTAATGGCAAATTAAGAAGATCAATTGCAGAAAAAAATTGATTCACCATTAATCAAACTGAACTTTTTTCTTCTACACACTCACACACTAGAAAGCGTTTAAAAGTTACAGAGCATCCAAAAAAAAAAAAAAAACTGCAAAAAAACTGCTTACAAATTGCACATAAACTGAACAATAACTGTAAAAAACTAACAGCAACTTTGCCACCTTGGCATCACTTTTTGGTTGCAGTAGTATTTAGATGCACATCTACAACACTCCTTGCATCTAAGCTGCTGCAAACCCCCAACTTCAGTCTCAAAAATTCAAATATAATCTTGGACAACGCTTTTGTGAATATATTAGCTACCTGATCTTCAGACTTACAATACTTAAGTTGAACCAACCCTTCCTTTTGCACATCTCTAAGAAAATAGAGTTTTATTTTGAAGTGCTTAGTTCTACCATAAAACACAGGATTATTAGAGATTGCAATGGCAGCTTGGTTATCCACAAACACTTGAGTGGCTTCCTCTGGCACCATATCTAAATCAGCTAACACTTTTCTAAACCATAAAGCTTGGTTTACTGCTACTGTAGCTGCTACATATTCAGCCTCTATAGTACTTTGTGCAACAAGTTCTTGCTTCTTTGAACACCAAGAGAACACTCCCAAACCAAAGCTAAAACAAAAACCTGTTGTACTCCTCATGTCATCTACTGAACCTGCCCAATCACTATCAGAAAATCCATGAAACTTCAAATTTTGACAATAGGAAAATCTGATACCATAATCAATTGTGCCTTTAATATATCTGACAACTCTTTTTGCTACTTGTAGATGAACCACACTAGCACAATGCAGGAACCTGGATAACAAACTCACTGCATACGTTATATCAGGCCTTGTTGCAGTGAGATACATTAAACACCCAATCAAGCTCCTATACAGCCCCTCATCAACCTTTTCAGCTCCATCTTCCTTGCTGAACTTTTCTTTAGGATTCATAGGAGTATTTGTAGCCTTACACTCACTCATCTGAAACTTATTAAGAATCTCCTTAGCATACTTTTGTTGGCATACAAAAATCTCCTCCTGGCTTTGTTTCACCTCCATCCCAAGAAAAAAAATCATTCTCCCAAGATCAATCATCTCAAAAACCTTCAACATTTCAACTTTAAATTCATTGATAAGCATCTCATTACCTCCTGTCACAAGTAAATCATCAACATAAATGGCTACAACAAGTATATCAACAACTTCATTCCTCACCTTCTTTACATACAAAGTCGTCTCACTAGGACTCTTCACAAATGCTAGTCCCAATAGATGTTCATCAATCCTGCTATACCAAGCCCTTGGAGTGTGTTTAAGCCCATAGAGAGCTTTCTTCAACAAATATACATGACTCTCATACCCTTTTTTAACAAACCCTTCAGGTTGCTCTACATAGATCTCCTCTTCTAGAAATCCATTCAAGAAGGCTGATTTCACATCTAATTGGTACACAATCCACCTTTTTTGAACTGAAATTGCTAATAACATCCTTATCGTATCTAGCCTAGCAACAGGTGCAAATGTTTCAGAAAAATCTACACCAAATACTTGTGCATAACCCTTTACCACAAGCCTTGCTTTATGCTTGTTAATAGAACCATCAACATTCAACTTAGTTCTATACACCCACTTAACCCCAATAATTTTTCTATTTTGAGGTCTCTCAACAAGCTCCCAAGTGTGATTCTTCTCAATCATTTTTAACTCTTCCTTCATAGCTTCCATCCACTTCTCTTCCTGCTCAACTTCTTTAAATCCAGCTGGCTCCAAAACAGCCATGTTACATTGTTGATAAATTTCAGACAATGACCTGGTTCCTTTAACTGGTTCTTCATCAATATTGTCTTCAATTTGTTGAACGAATTTAGGGTTGTCATTCTTCTCTTCTTCAACCCAATTCCACTGTTCATCTTCAAGAAAAACAACATTCCTACTCACAAGAACCTTCTCTGACTGTGGCTGAAATATCTTATAAACTTTTGAAAGATTACTATAGCCTATAAAAATACCTTTTTCAGCCTTCACATCTAGCTTATCTCTCTTCTCTTTAGGTATATGAGTAAAGAACAAACACCCAAACACCTTTAAATTCTTAACTGATGGTTTAGACCCGTACCATGCCTCATATGGAATCTTCATATTCAAACTTCTTGATGGAAGTCTATTTAACAAAAACGCTGCTGTACTCACAGCCTCAGCCCAGAATTTTTTAGGCAAATTCTTCTCATGCAACATACACCTAGCCATTTCTCTAAGCGTCCTATTCTTCCTTTCACTGACTCCATTTTGTTGTGGAGTGTAAGGAATTGTTAATTGATGCTCTATTCCAGCTTCATCACAAAATCTATTAAATATCCCTGAAGTATACTCTTTACCGTTATCTGATCTTAACACTTGAATACTATGACCACTTTGATTCTCAATCCAAGCCTTAAACCTCCAAAACACACCAGCCACCTCTGATTTAAATCTAAGAAAATAAACCCAACACATTCTGGTAAAATCATCAATAAACAGAATGTAATACTTACTTCCTTTCAAAGATGGTGTCTTCATTGGTCCTCCAAGATCAGTATGAATTAGTTCCAGCTTCTGAGATGCTCTCCACACAGATTTTGGAAATGGTGTCTGAACTAACTTGCCAAACTGACAAGCTTTACAAGTAGGAACATCCTCCTTTAGAGTTGGTAAGTCTTTAACCAACTCATTCCTTTGCATATAAAGAAGAGCCCTATGACGAAAGTGACCCATTCTTTTATGCCAAATTTCTCCATTACTCACATGACTCAAACAAGCAACATGCTCCTCCTCAATTGGATTAAACTAGAAGCTCTTGCCTCTCATTCTAATAGTGAACAACTCCTGACCATTCTCTTCATAAATTCTACACGTTTTATCTTCAAAAATTACTTTGAAACCTTTTTCAAGTAATTGCCCAACACTTAATAAATTTTGATCAATTTCAAGAACATAAAGCACATCATGAATAACTTTAGTACCTGATACACTATCAATGACAACCGTTCATTTTCCCTTGACTTTAATAAAATCTCAATTTCCAATTTTAACTTTGCAAATTAAAGACTTATCAAGCTCTTTGAAAATCTCCTTGTCGTAAGCCATGTGATTGGTACAACCACTATCAATAACCCAACACTCACTTGAACTATTGCTGGCATAATAAGTAGCTACGAACAACTGATCCTCCTCTTACGGCTCCTGCTGGTTTGCAACTTGAGCTTCATTTTCTTGCTGCTTCTCTTGTTGCACAGCTTTGCCTTTGCAAAACCTCTCTATCTGACCCTTCTGTTTGCATCTCCTGCAAATTAAATCAGGTATCCTCCAACATCTGATTTCTAGATGATTAGTTTTTCCACAATGGCAACATGGAGGCAATCTGCCAAAGCTAGTGTTACTGCTACTAGCACCAGCTTCTTTATTTTTCCTCCATTGTTTCTTCTTCTTCTTCTCTTTATTGCTATCACAAATCCGTAATGTAGCCTTTAATGCACCTTCAACAGACCCCTCATTTCTCATTTACAATCTTCGTTCATGTGCTTGCTGTAACGCCCCACTTGAGGTACGTACTTAAGATTTGTTGTTTTGCTTAAATATTTATTGATTCAGCTTTAATTGAGTTTGTATGTTGAGTTGGTTGAGTGTTTGCCTCGAAATTGGGTGAGATTTGAGGAATTTTAGAATTTCAGTCTTCGCCGGGGCGAAGGGTAGTCTTCGCCGCGTCGACGTTGGCTTTGAGTAAGGAGTGTAGGCTCTGTCTTTCTTCGTTGGGGCGACGGAAGTTTCTTCGCCGCGACGACGAGCCGAGTAAAATGTGTATTGAGATTTCTAGATATTTTTTCATAAGGGTTAAATGACCATTCTACCCCTAATTAGCAGGAAAAGTGGGGAGTAAAATGTAAGAAAATTTCATGGAGAATGGGTTAGTATGGGGGTGTGAGTGTAATGAATCAAAGGATATAGATGAAATTTTCAAATAAGATCAAGGGCAAAGTTGGGAAGTGTTGATTTTCTCATGAGCTAAAAAGGGCTAAGTGTAATAAACACTCNCTTAAACAAATCAAGGATCAATGCAGAATAAATTTATACACACAACACAGAAAACAACAGTTAAAATATACGTAAAATCTCTTAGTTCCAGACCAGATCATAGATATGTCCCACCTTCTCCTTAAAAATATTGGAGAAGTGAATAAATTAAGAAGCTGACAGCTTAACTTCTCCTTAAAAAAAAAAATATGGAGAAGACAAACAATAGTCTTGAGCTTATTAATCTAAACACATCTTATGCCACATGAGATTAATAATAAAAAGAAAAATTAAAGTTTTTGCTTTATGCATCATATTGTTATACAACCAGTCAATAACAAAGTAGATGTCTTCTACTCGAATTGATGTTGTATACTCTTATTGACTGATTGAATTATAACATGATACCGAAACTTTCACATAATGCTGCACCATTGGGCAACACCAACATTGAAATCCTCCTTTTGAGGTGGTGCCTGGGGAAAATACATAGCTGTCAATGGCTCATAGAAGGAGATCATTTGAGATGGATATGGCTGATCATAGTGCGAATGAGGCCAGTGATTCAAGTACTCCCTTCTTCCATCTGGACGATAATATTTTCCATAGCCAGTGTTGTAATAAGTATTGTATCCATCGAAGGGCATTCTAGAGTTGCTGGCATTGTGATTTAATGAATTAATCCAGCAAACTTTTGCATATGTCTGTGACTTTGCTAGCATCTTCAAAAGCTTTCCAGCATCAATTTTACCTGATATGTATGCTATCCCTTGTTCTGCGTCTATACTGTAAGACACTCCTATTAACACAGAAAAATATATACAAATACTCAAATTCTTCGAGGAAGATCGATAAAAGACAATTTTTTATAAGAATACAAATGTCTGCATCAGAGACACCCAGACAAAAAAAAAAAAAAAAAGAAACATAAAGCTTTCTTCGAATGTAAAATTTGAATTACGAACCATCAACACTCTTCAATACATTGATAAGGGTCTTATGCCATCCTGATGTTTGAGTATCAAGTTTCAGAGCACAGGTCTGCAAAAACACCACCCCACAAAATGAATTACGAAAAGATTAATCAGAGCAGAAACTCAAGTTTGTAATAGCAACAGACCAAAACGTTAGACTTGAATACAACCATATATGCAGGGGAATTCATTGAACTGAAATTTCTGAGAACTCTTTCTTCCTTGGGAGAAAAGATAGAAACGATCCCTTGATATGCAAAAGATATAGGATTAGTATTAAAGAGCTCGGTAATTATAGAGTAACTCAATTTAGATTGAAATAGATACGCAATTGGCATTAAAAAAAAAATGTCAAATTAATTAGAGCAGAAAGTCTATCACAATCAGGATTGTATTAGCTATATAAGGTGAATTTTTTTAGACATATTCTTCGAGAAATCAGCAAAGATTATGGNAAAGATAGAAACGATCTCTTGATATGCAAAAGATATTGGATTAGTATTAGAAAGCTCGGTAATTATAGAGTAACTCAATTTAGATTGAAATAGATACGCAATTGGCATTTAAAAAAAATGTCAAATTAATTAGAGCAGAAAGTCTATCACAATCAGGATTGTACTAGCTATATAAGGTGAATTTTTTTAGACATATTCTTCGAGAAATCAGCAAAGATTATGGATATTTCTGCATGGAAAGACATTAAAGAGTTCTATAAAAAAAAAAAAAAAAAAAAATCAGCAAAGATTTCCACAAGATGATATTTCAATTCATAATTTTTTTTTTTTGTAATTCAAGTTCATACAGACTTTCTTGTAAAGAATTATATAAAGGTGATTTGTAGGCAATATAATAGTGAAGAGGACAGTATTATAATAAGATTTGAGATAAACAGAGATATGATTGATTTATGAAAATTATAGGTGGGCGTTGGATAGGATAGGAGAGATGTTAATTAATAGAGGTGAATGACAAAAATAGTAGACGTTCAAAAATGAGAATTTTGTTTAGTACACCCATTTTTTTTTATTTTTTTTTTAAACTAAGTATCATTTATTAATAAATTTTTATGATTGTTTTTTTACTAACTGGGATGTTCAAACCCGCTTATGCGCAGTTCAACTAATTTTCAAGATCTTGAAGTTAACGACCAGGTAAACCATTTTATGGTCATGCTTATTAATAACCACCAATAGTCACCCTATTAACAACTAAGGAGAATCAAAATCAATTTCTTAAATAATACATTCAAGAGTCTTTATCATCCGACCCAACCACCCAGAATAGTTATTTTATTACAATTCTGTTGTTTGAGTGGAAACAACACAACTAATGAAATATGTAGGGTTCAAAAATCACTTCCCTTGATCCAAAATATGGTCATTTTGGTCTAGGACTCTAAATCCCAAGTAAAATTAAGATCCATGAACCCGAACCGTAAATAATAGGAAAATGGGTAAGCGGGTTTCTCAACGACGACCCGAAATCAAGATATCATCTCCTACTGTGTCTTCAAGAAGAGTTAACTGAAACAACATGCAGCTTCAGCTTCCAACTCGACTTATAAAGTGTTTCTCTCTTTCTTCATTGCCAGCCACCTCTACCCTCCAAGAACTTGCTTCTTCTCAACCCAAAGGTCTTATCTTTTTCTCTTTGTTTTTCCAAAAGTGCTTGTGTGGGTTTCTGGTTTTTTATTGCATATGGGCTCAATATACTTTCTTTGTTACTTGAAAACACTCCTCATAATGTAGTGGTTCGGAAGTTACATAAATTTCCTAACTTCAATTTTCAATGGGGTGCTGTTGAATTTCCATTCTCAGTGGGATTTATTATTTTTTTCTTTTATATATATAATTTTGCTTGTTCTTAAGAATTATTGACATGTTTCTGAGACTTAGAAGAATAGCTGAGCTGCAGTATTGTTCTTGCTACACATCCAGTTTTTTTAACTGCAGTTTTGAGTTTTCGTAATATGATTAATTGAATGTAGGATCAACTGGTGACGCTGTTCAGATGAATCTGAATTTTCTTCATTTTTTATTTTATTATTTGGTTATACTTTGCAATATTTCCGTAGGGTTTAGTGGGGCCATTTTGGGTGATGCAAAGAGTGTTCTTGGATTGTCTTTATCATCTTTAGCTTTGGCAAAGTGTTATTGCAAAATTTATTACTGGTTTTATGTGAATTGTAGCTTAAATTTTAAAGCCCCTTTCATTGGTTTGGTCTCTAGGTGTTCCTAAGGTTGTACTTAAAAAAGGGAAGACACAACTGTTCAAGGATGGAAGCCCAATGGTGTATAGTGGAGCAGTTGATAGAATAATAGGTAGGCCTCCGCCCAGGACTGGAGATGTTGTACTAGTAGCTGATGGAACAGAGAAACCAATTGCATGGGGCTTGTATAATTCAGTTTCTATGTTCTGTGTTCGGCTTATGCAGCTAGAAGAGGAAGCAGCCAGGTGCAAATTCGATTAAAGGCTTTCTAGTTATGATTTTACCTGTTTTATGTGGCTATTAAATTCTTAATGAGTGTTGTACAGAGATCCTTCTTGCGCACTGAACATGGAGAAACTGATTGAAACAAGAATCGATGCGGCTATAAAGCTACGTAAGAGGTTGGGGCTTCCATCAGCTAATACAAATGCATACCGTCTAGTCAATAGTGAAGGAGACAGGTCTGTGAAATTGAATATGATTAATGTTATTGTTTGTTTCATTCATTGAGTATGATTAATGCTATTGTTTGTTTCATTCTTTTTCCTGAATATAAAATTTTCCATGTCCATATACTATATAACTAGATAATAATTTGAGGTTCCACTTCCCTTTAGGCTTCAGTTGGGACGGATTTTGGGTCTATTTTATATGATTTACAGGGTTTTTGTTCAGGGGAGAGAAAAGTACTCATTGCATTTTGTATAAAATTGTTTCTTGTTCCTTGGTTTTTTTTTTTTTTTTATGGACACTTGGTCCACGACTGTACAAATTTTATAGTTTCTTGTTCAAGAAACTTAATAATTTGAGGTATGTTGTCTAGCTATTCTATCATATGTTATCTTTTTGTATGTTCATAATGATTCGCATGTGTCTATAGACAAGCATACCAAGTTATCTGCAATTTTCGTTCATCCCTCCAGGAATTGGATATTCTAGGTGTTTCATTTGAAATATAAAAGTTTGTTTTGTGAATTTATAGCTGTTGATGTAGTAATGCTATAGGAGTTATTCATGATTTTCATTATCTTTTCTATTTTGCATCAAATTGTCCATGTCAAGATAACTGACTTCTTTCCCTGCAGGTTATCAGGATTAATAGTTGATGTCTTCGGAGAGTCAGCGGTCATAGCATCATCTGCAGCTTGGGTTGAGAAGTACAAACCAGAAATTGAAGCTTTCATCAGTAGAATTGATGACATCAATCATATAAAATGGAGGCCATCTTTTGAAATTTTAAAAGAAGAAGGGCTGGATGTGTCTGATTTGAAAGAAATGTGTCCATCTACATGCCCTGAAAGAACAAAGGTTAGAAGTCATTCCAAAAATTAGATTAAGTTAGTTTACTGACGCAAATGTTTTATCTGTAGTGATTGAAAATCTTAATGGCTTGGATTGAAGTACAGTGAACACTGCAAGTATACTTATAATTGACACTCTGCCACTGAATAAAGGATGGCTGCATTTTTAATGATAAAGGTTAACTGATTTAGACCTTTGTTGCATTGGATCATTCTTGAGAAAATTTATGAGAGGATACTAGTGATCTTACCCAACATAGAAGATTGTTTAAACCATTTCTATGAAGTACACAAATTAGCAAGTGTGTGATTAATCTATCCTCAATTATCATTGTGAGTTTGAAAATTTGAATCCTATTACCACGGCTTCAATCTAAAAACAAAAACTGAGTTTAGGCTTTATATTTGAATACACTCAACTCTGAGAAAATTCAATTGAACAATTTTTCTTCAAGGATAGGCATCAACAATTGGTAAGTTAACTAATATGAAAAATTCCCAATAAATCAAAACAGCAAGTGTTTCTTGGATAATAACAGGCTGAGGTCATGTACTTGCTGCAATCTTAGTTGTTTGCCTGCATTCCCCCTAAGTTTTAAGGGAGGAAAAGGTCTGGAATTGTGTTCTTGCAATTTTAGTTGTACACTGTTTATAAGAACGAGTCTTTTATGACACTGTAATATTCACTCCAGGTTTTAGAAAACGGGATATCTTATGCAATTTCAATGGAGGGCCAGAAGACTGGATTTTATGCTGATCAGCGTGAAAACCGTCATTTGATATCAACAATTTCAAATGGAAAGAGAGTTCTAGATATTTGCTGCTACAGTGGTGGTTTTTCTCTAAATGCTGTAAGAGGAGGTGCTATTTATGTAACCGGTATAGTTATCCCTCTGCGTTCTTTCATTAATCAAGTTTGATATTTGCCAAAATCCCTTTTATCTATGACTGTCCCATGTTATATTGAAAGGGAATTTGTTTATTTTTCTAAATCCTGTTAGAGAAGGTGGTTTTTTTACTGTAGTGTTTCTTTCATGTTCTGTCAGGTGTCGATACCTCACTGCCCGCTCTGGAGCTTGCTAGAGAAAATATTGTTCTGAACAACCTGGATCCTGAAAGAATAACATTTCTGAGAGAAGATGCAACTGAATTTATGAAGGGTGCTCTATCTAGAAAAGAATTGTGGGATATAGTTATTTTGGATCCTCCGAAACTGGCACCTAGAAGAAAGGTATAATTTTAGTTGATTTGAGCTGTATTCTTTTCACATTGCCTATTTTGTTTGCTTGAACATATAAAACTGACTGAAAACCACCAGCAACAATTCGAAACTCATGTTGATCAATTCAATAGATGAAGGCTGTAACCGTGCCTATATGCTTGTATTTTAGTGTTTGTCCCTATAATTTGTTTTTTGTTCTTCCTAATTTTTGTGGATATTTATGTTGCTTGATGATCAATGCCAGGATCTACAAAGTGCATCAGGCATGTACAGAAATTTGAATGCATTAGCAATGCAATTAACAAAGAGAGGTGGTCTTCTCATGACCTGTTCATGTTCGGGAGCAATGACTCAAAGTGGAATCTTCCTGCGCATTCTCCAGGCAAGAAGTTTTCCATAATTCCCATGATCTAAATCAAATGCTTGGTATCATTGATGTAACATGCAAATTGACTTTCTCTCTCTCTCTCTTTTTTTTTTTTTTTTCTTTTTTTTTTTTCTATTTATGAACATGATAACATGTCAACTAAAGTATGTATCTTCACTGATTAAATTATTAAACAAAGTCCAATAGCTGGTTATGGGACGTATATCCTCACTTTCTAGGCAAGATCCAGCGTAAAAAAATAGCCTCTCATAACATCTAAAACTTCAACATGCAATGCTCATTAAACCCCATTTTCTCTTTGAACAGGGTGCTGCATCAGTGGCAGGAAGGAAGATCACAGTTGTCCGACAGGCTGGAGCAGCCTGTGATCATCCTGTTGACCCATCCTACCCAGAAGGGGCATACCTGTCAAACATATTACTTAGAGTACTGTAAATGCCTATCAATGTATTCACATAAGAAGCCAATTTTGTATTTCCGCTCATTCCGAAGAGAAAGCAATTAGTTGAGGGAAACTAATAATTGTATTGAGCTATTTCACATATTATACATAAAAAGGGTGAAACGTGCTATTGTTCAAAATTTAATTAAAAAAAAGACGCTTTTCAAACAGAAAATATAATCATTTGAACATTCACACACAAAATTACACCAACAACTGAGATGATAGTCCATCTGATGAGGTTCCATAAATTTGCTTAGTGGCCTCCGGGATTTCTGTTCCAAGACAAATAAGAAGGATCTCCAAGTCGCCTGAAACAATAATTCAATACATTAGTTACAATATGAAACCAGATGTGTTAGCTATAGTTTTGCAATATCGAAAATACATGGGCTCGATAAGTTTCAGATATCATGAGGAAAATGGAAAACAGGCGGCTGTAACACATTTGTGTCCAACAACCATGCTTATCCAACAATGAACTACTATTTCAAGCAGATTTAAGCTAAAAACCTGAGTTCAACAAATAAAGTTGTAATGGCACATCCTAGATTCAACCAACTATGTTAAACACAAGTTTGATAGCATCACTCTTAAAGAACCATGTGCATTAAGAATCGGTGATCAAGATATTTACCTTGGCTTGATCAGATATACTACAGTGAATGACAGAGCCAAAAAGAAGCACAACCCTCCAACACTTAGATAAGCAATGCCAAGAAAGTCATTCTTTCCACCAAGCCAGCTAGTAGTTGAGAGAACAAGCTTCTTCTTGCCATTAAAACTGTAAGTGTTGTAGTTGTTTCTCAGTGTTACAACTATTTCATCATCTTGTTGGAGATCCTCCTCTATCTTTCCATACAACTTCCTGAAAGTTGGCAAGGCTGCAGTTCGCATCCAAACAATAAGGTCCTCCTGCTCACTCAACTGTTGCAACAAAACATATTCAACCATGTTAGCCAGTTGTCAGAATGCTAGATGCAAAGCAACATCTAAAACTGCCGCCAAATAATTGGTATTGGCTTAAATGAATCTTCTGAAAAGAAGAAAACTAGAAAGTTAAAGATAGAATTGGGGACAAAGATAAAAGGCAGATTACATAAATTGGTTGCAAAACATAAATGATGTAATCCCAAGAAAGAGGCACCACGTGCTTAGAAAAACGTAGGGGGAAAAAACAATTTTGTAAGAGGTTGAACAAAGAAAAAAAAAGTAACAGTAGCACAACACTGCTTGTCCAGGTAAATTTTCTCTTTTCATTTTGGATAGGAAACATTAAGGTGTGTATTACTGTGGAAAAAAAAGGCAGATAAAATGAACTTATGAATGCTAGACATCATTATGTCTTGAGGTGTTCAAAACAGGCCCTAATGAGATGCTGATTGATTTGATCAAATCAACTTATTATACATGAAAAGGATTTGAATCTACAATGGGATAAAGTCATGTCCTTGCTTTTTTGTTTGCTTGAGTCACAAAACTATTTCAGGGGATCTCTATTTTTCTTCATTCAAAAGGATGGACTGTTACAGTATCCTAATTTCTGTTTTACTATTCTGTTAAGCGGCAATCTCCCAGGTTTACTTGAACGATGATGTGTATATTTTTTAGGATTGAAATTAATGCTCAGTTTAGTTGGGTTACCAACATTTACAATCAAGCAGGGGAGAGGACAGATTAATTTTATGCCTAAATTCTATGAGATAATAATCTTATAATAAAGGTAAGAGGCTTACTGGTATGGATTCATTGAGATGTGCACCACCTATAAGAGTTCCGTTCTGAAAATTTTTAGGAAAAACATTTTTGCCGAACTTGCTATCCGTATCACTCTTCCATGCAATACCCTTCCTGTTTATGCCCAATGATTGATTGTTACGGGAAAAACTGTAAGTATCATTGAACAAACTCCAGGCAATAAGTCCACAAGGCACAATAGGCATCCCATTTGCAGTGTTTTCGGGCTTGCAGTCACTTGTTTCACTTGCACTATTTGGATTTTTCAACTGCTCATCACTTCGGCTCTTAACATATCTGAATACAATGCCATAAATATGCAAAAAATCACCAAGATGAAATATTTTTCTATGCTTTGACTAGGTTGCCCAATTATTCCGGCAGAAAATGAAATGAATTAAAAGTAGTAAAAGAATGTTATTAGAAAGCTGTGAAGGATTATAATTATGATCAGAAACAGATAATTGTCCTTTCCATTGAACAATAGATGTTAATGGTAATATCCGAAGAATCACCCGTTGTGTGAATTTTAAGATGTAGTTTTACAAGTTACTTGAAAATATGACAGAGAGAAATGATAAGTACCTGCGATGATTCTGGTAGAAATTGTCAAGCTGATAGTACACATGTACTGGCTTCTTCATTCGCTTTGTCACCTAAAAGAAGAAAGCAGAAAGAACATATTGTCATCCATTTCATAACCTCAGAAATTAAGTTCAATCTCTTCTTCTAGAAACCTAGCCACAAATACAATCATATTGGAAGAGCCATGATAATGATAACAAAGATTATAATAAAATGAGAAAAAGAGCAAACAAAGCCTTACTCTTATTTTTCTCTCACAAGTTTTATCTACAGAGCTTTGTATATATCCGACCTTATTAGTTCTATTGGCCACTGGTATGCAATCAGTCTCATATCGATCAATGATTTCAACAACCTGGTAGAGAGGAAGAGAACCCATAATCAAGCACTTAAAAATAAAAACAGAATAGAAAAAGTTTGGCTTGCGTTAAACATACATCTTGGGAAGCAAAGAGGGAAGCAACTCCGATGGGAATGAAGACAATGCTAACAAGCAAAAATGCTGAAATCACCTGCACAAAGAAAGGTATTTAACACAATCATACAGTTTCCTATGTTAACACTGTCAATACGTATACATATGAATTGGGATCTTTCAACCTAAAACTGGACTTAAAACAAGACGCAAATTCCCATTCATTCATTTCATTAAACCCAGCATTTAAGTTTTAAAATAAAGCATCAACTCAGCAACACTCTTCACCCTTGAATTAAAATAGATTTAGAAATTCATGTCTCATTTGAAGTTACAATATTAAGTTCAAAGATTCTGATTATAAACATTTGCAGGATAATGAAAAGCTTACCCATCGTGGTGTGAGAATCGGCTTGCAAGCTGGCAGTTCCTGTTGAGTAAATCTTGAATCTGAAGAGAAGACATCATAAAGGGATCGTTCTAAGTTGACCATTATCGTGGAAAGATTTAGATAACTTGTAGAAGCCAAGTGTTATAAAGACAGTTGTTCAAGATACATGATGCGAAGCATGAAACAAGAAATCTAATTCTTGTTAATTGCAGAGTCCATACCCACATGAACTACATCACACAAAAGATTAAAAAACAGAAATGGGAAAGCTTCTAACAGATGAGATTATCCCACCATCCCCCCTCACATGTAGTAAGGCTTACACATCAAGAACAAACGTGTATTGGGTCGTATCCAATAATTCTCCAAATCTTAGAACACCATGACACGCATTAAATATTCAATTTTCCTTGATCCTGCTTATATGTCTAAGATTAAAGTTGATGCATCTAAAAACATTAAATTAACCACCAACCAATACCCTATAGAATTATATAGAAGAAGCCTCAAGTACAAGTGAAGGTGGAAGCATGAAGGGATGAGAAGAAAATTGTAAACTATTGCATTGTTCATAGTAGGGGTGCCAATTTTTTACACGACCCACCAACACGATGCGGATGGATTAAGCAAGTTAAGGTTCGACCTTAATCATATTCTATGTTTTTCACCTTCCCTATTCTGTATCTTACTTTTCTACCCTGCTAAACATAGAGCCTTAGAAGCTAAGGCGAATTTTGCCTTCAGCATATGCGGAGCTAACCTTGAGCCTTATACTTTAAAAGGCCTCTGATAAAAAAATTCGAAGTAGAGTTGTTGACTTCATAATTAAGAGCTAATTTACAGTTTTAAGACCACATAATAATTTGTTCATCAATAAAAACTCTGGTCAGTTAAATAACAACATTCTCCTGTAAATCCAACAAACCCATGATTCAAAACAAGAGATCAAGCAAAAAAACTCAAAAATCACAACCCTCAAGAGAAGATCAGCCATCTATTGAACTCATAACTAGTAAAACAATAAAGAGAACCACAAAATCTCCAAGTGCGTAGTCACAAAAAATCACAAGCAAGAAGAGAAAATTACACTTGGGTCGCTTGGAATTCCTTCTGGGAGCAGAAGCATCAGCGGATCCAGACGTGGCAGAGCTGGAGGACGCCGTATTGGAGTTCATGACAGAAACAAAGAAGGGAAGGGACACGTTTCCCCTTGGTTTGGTTTCCCAAAAATAAATAAAAATTTGTATGAACAAGGGAGTTGGGGGTGAGGGGTTTTATGCTGAGCGTTGTTTGGTTTGACTTTGAAAATTATAAAACCGAAGCTTCTCCCTTTTTCTTCTCTCTCTCTCTCTCTCTCTCTCTCTCTCTCCAGGACGGCTTTCACTTTGAATTGATGAGTTAAGTTACGTCTGCTTGTTAGTAATCCATCTAGAACAAGGATAAGTCGTCTTTGTGAAGGAAGGAAGACTGATGAATAATAATATTAAACCAGTCAAAGAGAAATACACGGTTAGACTCGGTTTGTTTTATTTTATTTTTAATTATTTATTAATTACTTTAAAGCTTTTTATTATTTATAGGTGCCTAAAACGATCTACATTTTCTAAACATTTTTATTCTTTTTATATCGTTCCATGATTTCTTTATTCATATTTGTTATGCCCAAAAATATAAGGGCTGACGTCAGGACCCTTTAGCCTGCAGAAGTCAGATTATTGGAACAGCTACCGTCTACGTCTGTCAGGATAGTGAGCGCGCGTCGGGCTAGTTAGGAGGCTGTGGCACTCCCACGTGTCCAATCCCTACTCTAGATCGCGCAAATTACTCTAGAAGGTGGGCAATGTGACATAAAGAAGGATTTGCACGGATAATCCCACCAACTTGCAAATTTAGTGATCATTGCCTCAGAGCATCTGACTATAAATTAGGAATTCATCTCTCATTAAAGGGGATTCGCACATTTTTTTACTGGATTAATTACCCTCTCTCTTTTCTTAGCAATTGATACCTTGTAATATCATTATAAAGTCAGTCAGCTAATAGCGACCTGACCCCTATCATCAATACAAGCATCAGTGGACGTAGGACTTGCTACCTTAGCATCCGAACCACTTTAAAAACTGTCTCCATTGCATTTACTATCTTCTACCCATTACTTTCACGTGTGAATTTGCGGGGCCCCCCACAATATTTCACACGTACGTTTCGTTGGTGTAAAATCTCGGATCAACAATATTCATGCCTCATACTATCTAATTACAATTGTAGATATTGTATAACATGATCAACATCCGCAATAAAGTTTGTCGATTTCCTCTATTAGAAATTATATTTGTATAAGTTGTATTTTTCTCACAACGTCAATTTGGTAGGCCCTGAAACTAGTTTGTGGAGATGAATTCTACTCAAGTCTGCCATATCATAGTATCATAACCATGTTTGTTTGGGGCGAGAATAAAATTGGACCCCGATCGTCAATTTTGGTTGGACTCTCTTCTCCCTAACCTAAACCCACTTTGTCATCCTCGGTTTTCATAATTAGATGACTTTTCACACAAGGAGAGTCAGAATTAGGCTAAAAATTTACCTATAAAACTTGCAGCTAGTAAATAGCTCCGACAAATAAAATTATACTGAAAAGATAAAAATACTCCATTTTCTTTTAGTTGAATTGGATTATGGAGAATTAATGCATGTAATTTTATGAAAAAAATAATGTAGGTTTTCTTATGGTTTTTGTCATGAGAATATGCCAATATGGGTATGCTTTATTCCATTGTGTTGAAAATTCAATTTGACTCGACAAGTGTATAAATTGGGTCTTCCATTAATAATGGAGACTTAAATAACCCATGAATACTATTATCTCTTTATATTTCTTTTCTAGAAAGGTGATTTAATTTCAAATTCTAGAATCTTTGAATATCTTGTTTTTTTTCTAGTAAGTAATCTCAAGTTATATAATATTGTAAAATCTAACAATATATATACTTATAAAATGTTTAATATGTTTTGGATATCTTTAGAGGGAGGGAATATTACCAGGCTTTGTTTCATAAAGTTTGCAAGAATCATCACTTTATAAAAGCTCCTACCTTAATCTTTACGTTAATATGCTTCATTTTGTGTCACTTAGAGTAGCAAGTCATGGGATATATATACATATGTATATAGCTCAGCTCACCAACTTAACGATGTCGGATAAATATAACTTTTAACAAAATTGATTTACATCGTAATGGAAAATAATCTTATAATTATTACCGAATTAAAAATATCATTGAACCCAAAACTATGCATATTATGTCCTTCAAATGAAATATGGTAGATATAAATCTTCAACAACCATTGATAATAAATTAATCAAAGTGGGTTATGAATATCATTATCAATACAATATTATAAGGTTTTATTAGAAACCCATATTCACCACATGGCCCATATCAAAGCCCATAATATAGGATATATATTTGCTGAAATCATTTCGTTTGAAGTTGGCCCACTCATATAATTAATTAGTATTAATATTCATAACGTTCATATTGAAGTTTCATATTTATATTATACTTAATTTTAATATAAATATTAATCATCTACAAGACCAAAAACGTATATTTTTGTATTACTCATTATACATTATAAAGAAAAGTTGATATCACAAAACTCAAATTTATATTTTAATTGATGTGATTATTGATATGATAATCATTGATGCGTGATTTTAACATCAACTAATCGACATGTGCACAACGATGATTGGCCATGAGACACACGTGAGTATGGATAAAGTGTAGTAAATGTACTAATGAGAGCTTTTTAAAGTGGTTCGGATGCTAAGGTAACAAGTCCTACGTCCACTGATAGTTGTATTAATATTGTGGGTCATGTCGCAACAGCGAACTGACTTACAAATGATTAATGAAAAGTAAATGCAAAGATACAAAAGAGACTGGGATGGCTAATTCAGAGTGTAAAATGGTTGAATCCCCTCAATAAAGGGGTTTTCTCTTTTTTATAGTGAGATAAGTGCAAGTAATCATCATTAAATTCGTGGGTTGGTGTAAATGTCAGGACAAAATCCGGCTTTATATCACATTGCCCACCTTCTAAACTGATTTCACGCGATTTGGAGCAGGGAATGGACACGTGGAATCTCTACAGCGTCTGACAGGTCTGACGCACGCTTACCGTTCTGACAGGAACAGGTCACACTCCATCACATGATTTCCCACGTCAGCCCTTGATTTCCCAGGCATAACAATAATGATCCATAATGTAAGAATTAAGATCAAATTTGTGGTAATAACCAAATTGAAAATGTTATAATGGTACTTGTCTTTATGAAGCAAATGCAATGTTCCCATTATTAAAATACTCTGAAAAATAGCAAATATAAACCTTAAACAAATCCCTCCAAAGTTTACGCACACAAAGTCACAAACTTCAATTTGATTTCTTCCAAGTCCTAACACTGCTACTGACTTGCAGTCACCTGAAATAGCAGAGTCGCACTCTTTATATATAAAACACACAGAAAGACAGAGAAACGGAGCGCCAGAAAATGAGTTTGGGAGGTGTTGGACGCATAGCTATTTGTGGGTATCGCAGGATTTTGGCTTCACATTTGCCTCACGTGCAAAGGATCACTCTTCAATTCTCTCGCCAGGCAACTTCTTTTTTTATCACCTTCTATATGTTTATTCATAATAAATAATTTTACTGATAGTGGAAGAGTCATAGGAGTTGGTAAGAGTCAACATCTCAGTTTCTGTGTTCTTGTTTGTTTCAATCATTTTGGTCAAGTTATTAGCTCTCATTGATTGTTATGCTTTCTGGGTTGTTTTGTATTTTTATAATTGTAGTGACTGAAATTAGTGGGAGAATCAAAGAAGTTGGTGACATCTCAATTTCTTTATTGTTGTTTGTTTGAATGATTTTGGTGAAGTTATTTGATGTTTCTGATTGTTATGCGTTGTGGATATTGTTTGTTTTGTGAAATTGTGATGTGGGTAGTTGTCAGTTCTTGGTTATTTTGAAGTTGAGATAGTGTTAAATCTGCTGCTTAGTTGTTTGGTTTACTTGTTCTCTCATGCTTCTTTTTCTTATTTCAATAATCGTTTGTGTTTTGTTTTTGATTGAGAAATTTTGTGTGATGAATTGATTGAATTCAAGTATTACCTAGAGATTACCGGATCTGTGATTGGACACAAATGAATGAGTAATGAAAACTACTAAATGTTCGTTTTCTTAATTTGGCAGGATATATTCCCATTCTCGCTCTCTCTGTAGACACACAGTAGCTTGATTATCAGTCTTTCTGGGGCTTGCGTGCCTATCTAATTAGACAAATCTGAATGTCAGACCATATGATATGATAAGAAAAGAGGCGATGATTTAGATTGTATATTAAATGATATGTTGTGCATGTTTGTTCGTTAGCCTATCAAGCAAAACACTTGGACATTTGGGCATGCAGTGTATGATCTAATGTAATAATTTAACCATTGATAGTTAAAATGAAACTGGGGATGTAATATTCATCAGATGCAGATTGTGCTACACTTTAAATTCTTTCATATTAACAGAAAAATGTATAAATTGAAAACCTGTAAATCCTAGACGTGAAAAGAAAATATGCAAAATTTTCCATGAAAGAAAAAGAAAAGGGTATTAAAAAAAAGAAAAAGAATATGCTCAACTATGCATCGAGGGGTGGATCTCATAGTGGTGTTGTGGTACCTATGGAATTTTTAATATCCCTTCATATTTAAGGCCTCTTCTTTCATACACTTTAGGACTTGATGCATGTTCATTACGCCTGCATGTAGTAATTGTTTTAAATTCAGCGTATATTTATTTTTTTTCTTTCTATCATTGTGTTACTCTTTGTCTTCTAGAATGTATTCTACATGTTTGGAAAATTTTTCTTCAAAGAGCACTCTGGGGACATGCAGAATTTCTAACGAAGGGAATTAAATTTCAGATGAGTACAGAGATGCAGAGTGTTGCTTCCAGGCTTCAAAGTTCTGGCTTGTTACGGACACAGGGTCTTATTGGAGGCAAATGGACTAATGCATATGATGGGAAGACTTTGGAGGTTTGCTCTACCAAATTTATCATTGGGATTCTGTTGGCCTTTATTTTCCGTTTGGTGTCTCAGATCTATTAACTAAAAATGGCTATACTACTTTCTGTAAAACACCATGTGTAATTTAATATTTTGATAGGTTAACAATCCAGCAACAGGTGAAATTATTGCGGAGGTCGCATGCATGGGCAGAAAGGAGACAAATGATGCTATATCTTCAGCCTTTGATGCATATAAATGTATGAATTTGAACTGGACTGCCCTGCAGCTATGCTATATTTTAGAAAAAGGATATCTGCTACTACATTTGGCAATTTTTGCTGCAGTAAAGTAATGTACCGATAAATTGCTCTTGAAGCTTTTGAAACTTGCCAATTGACTGTATCTTATGTAATTTGAGTTCGTTGCATGCTTAAAATTGATGCTATCTTGAAAGGATTTATTTAAATTGTTTTAAATTGATAAGTCATCAATCTCAACATATTGCAAATCTTTTGCTGCTGAAAATTTAAAATTATGCTCCTTGTGTTCTTGATCAAACTTGATCGATTAGGTCTAATTCTTTGTGCCTACAAACATGCCCATGTTCAACATCACCTGAGGTTTTTAGTGGTTTGGAGTATACTAGACTCAAAGTACATTTAACAGTGAAAGCTAGCTATGCTTATTTATGACCTATTATCTGTGTAGCTTGGAGCAAACTTACTGCTGCAGAGAGGAGCAAGCGTTTGCGGAAATGGTATAGTCGATATCCTTGATTATTGCATTCAGAAGATTATGTAATGATCCTCAACTATTTGTGTCTTGTGTATGTGTTTGTGTGGGTAAAAACATTTCTTCAGTCATATACACTTTCTAGAACATTTATTTCTTTTAGCATTTTGTTTTCTCTTTCTGAAAGAGATTAAAAAAATCTATTTTAATAAAATTTACTTTATTGCTTTTAGCACTGTTTTATTGTTGGAGTGATGCTCTTTTTCCATTTTTCATGAAAGCTTATCTTTCTGTTCAAATGCATATTGTTCTCTTCTACTATTATTTTGCTTTTCTTTGTCTAATATCAAAATATTTCTGACTTGCTCTAATTGAAACTTACTTTGAAGTTTAATCACTTATTTATTGTAATGCCGTTAATTTTCTCTTAGAGTTCTTGTAGTTGATTTTTTTTGTATGCTGGGATATTTTGTTCTTAGTGATCTTGATTTAAGATTTCTACATGTATTTTAAGGTACGATCTACTTATGGCCCACCAAGAAGAGCTTGGACAATTAATAACGTTGGAGCAAGGAAAACCCCTAAAAGAAGCCATGGGTGAGGTAAACCATTAAAAAATTTGCTTTAAGAAATTAAAGCGATAGGCTTTCGCCCTTTATGTTCTTGTTTTTCCTTTTTTTTTTTTTTGTCTAAACCATTTATAATATTAAAATTTTGACTCAAAATCACAGGTTGGCTATGGGGCCAGTTTTATTGAGTTCTTTGCGGAGGAAGCAAAACGTGTATATGGCGATATAATTCCTCCGACTCTACCTGATCGTAGGCTATTTGTTTTAAAACAGGTCATATGTAATATTTTTTAGTTCTATATAATTACCGTACACTAGTGTACCATTTCTTCTGTGGTAAAGTTTTTGTTGCTTTATGCATACCTTAGATTATCGAAATTTGTCTGAGATGAACTTATTCTACTCAAACAATGCCAGGAGCCCTTAGGACTTTCAAAAGCCTGCAGGGCTACGCGCCTTTTTTCCTAACAACCTGCTTCCTCGTTCTTTGATTTTGAGAATCTAATAAACAAGCTGAGAATGGAAATGCTGTGTTCCAGGGCTACTGACCCTGTTGCTACTCAATTTGATTTTGTCAACTAATCTCCCTAACCAATCATGTCGGAATAGCATGGTCCTTAAATTTTCTAACTTATAACATATCATTAGAGGTGAGGGAAGTTGGTCAATTGTAATTGCTGACCTCCAATCACCAAATGTTTGGAATGTTTGTTAAGGCAATTATTTGCAATATGCTTGAAGCGAACAATAGCGGGCACCTGCCAGGATTAGTGTTTTATTCATGCTTTTGTTGTCGTCTTCTTCTCTAGTATTGATTGCAACCCATGTACTGTCTTATCCTGCTTGCTAGTGATCTGGAACACTTATCTTTGCTTTTTTTTTTTTTTTTATTCTTTCTTTGGGTGGACAGTTCCTGATAACAGGTTTTTAATTGAAAGTTTTGGGTGCCACTTTGGTGGATTTTGTTTGATCTTTTTATTTAATATACTGTTCATCATCTTTCTGGGCAGCCTGTAGGTGTTGTTGGTGCAATTACACCGTGGAACTTCCCCTTGGCTATGATTACCCGAAAGGTGATTTCAGTTTGTTCGATTTCAGATTTTTATGTTCCAAAAAGTTTCTGTTAGTTCACAATGTATAAAGTATTTTAGTTTTCAAGTTGACATGTTTTATTCCTGATTGTAACAGGTTGGTCCTGCCCTTGCTTGTGGCTGTACAGTGGTTATAAAACCCTCTGAACTTACACCTCTCACAGCTTTAGCAGCAGCTGAGCTTGCTCTTCAAGCTGGAATACCACCGGTAATTCTTATAGTGTTTCTTATACTTTCAAAGTCCCATATGCCTTCTAAGCTAAATCCTTGCAGTATCATGGAATGCAATGACATATTGAGGAAGTAGTCCTGGAAACTGGTTGCACATTTAAGAACTTGAGTGGGGGCATATAACATTGAGTCCTAATATTTATTTTTTAAGAAAATCTATAACTTATAGCTTCATCAGAGTGTATTGCTGTTATAATGATGTACTATTGTTTGTAAAGAGGATGATTGAGCTTAAAAAAAGGTTGAACTGAGGAGTTGAATATATTATGCTATGAGAAGTTTCCATAATTTTTTTAGGCCCATTAGTTTCTGAGTTTGAATTGCTAGAGCCTTATTGTAATTTGTTGAAACATCTTAATTTTGTTTTAGTATGCTTTCTTGTTGATGTCTCCATAAGTTTCTGAAAGAATATTGGTGTTCCAATTGTTTTCTCTTGATGATGATGATAATGATTTTTTGTTGTTTCATTTATTTCTGATTGTTTTATATTTATTATCTTTTAGGGTGCTGTGAATGTGGTTATGGGGAATGCTCCTGATATTGGGGATGCTTTGCTTGCAAGTCCACAGGTTTTTCAAGCTTAATATATGCCATATGCTTTTTGTGATAAGACATCATCAATTGACCTCAATGGGGCGATGATCCAGTATATGAATGATGGAATATTAAGTTGCATTTTACAACTTATTTAGGTGAGGAAGATAACCTTTACAGGATCAACAGCTGTTGGAAAGAAACTGATGGCAGGAGCTGCTGGGACTGTTAAAAGGGTATAGGCTATGAAATTAATGTGAAACAAAAGCAAGGAGGTTTAGTAATCATCATGCAGCTTATTGTCTTTGCTCTTGTCTTCTCTAGGTATCTTTAGAACTTGGTGGCAATGCACCCTGCATAGTCTTTGATGATGCAGACCTGGATGTGGCAATAAAAGGAACGGTATGTTGAGACATTCTCTATGTAAACTTACTGCAAAAATTGTTCTTGTGTTGATATTTCTGAGTTCCATTTGTTATTGGGTTGCTAATGTTGGAAATTTTTTAAAATTGACATCATTTTATATCCCTGTTTTACAAATCCTTTTAACTAATGGTATATAATTTGTTTTTCTAGAAAATTCTTGTTTTCTATGAAAAGAAATTTTCTATTTCTAATAAATCAGATGATCTATTGCAGTATCTTATGGTCGGTATCTATATTCTTTTCTGCAAACAAATTATATTCTATCTTGCAAGTGCTCAGTGGTGCTTATCATTTGTTTCCCATTTCCATTAAGATTTATAAGCCATTTTCTGTTTGATAATGGTTTTTGTTAGCATTCTTAATACCAGTGAACTAATAATAAAGCTTGGTTTCATTTGTCCAGCTGGCAGCAAAGTTTCGTAATAGTGGACAGACCTGTGTATGTGCAAATAGAGTACTTGTTCAAGAAGGTATATCTAGACATAAATAATACTGTGGAACATGGATTTACAAACTTGTATTTCTTTCTTCCCTGTAACAATTTCAGTTTCATTATATATTTTTCAGCTTTTTTTTTTATTTTTTCTTTTTAGTGTCATTATGAATTTTTAAAGTGAATTTTCTCTAATCCTTGCAGTTTTTTATTTTTTTTTTTTATTTTTTCTTTTTAGTGTCATTATGAATTTTTAAAGTGAATTTTCTCTAATCCTTGCAGACACATACTAATTCATATAGATGTATGTGTGCTTAATTTTTAGAAGAGTGGTACTGTATGATTGATATGAAAATATCCCTTTTTAGAATAGTAATAGCATTTTGTATTCCTTTTTCCTCTGCCTCTTGTGATCTTACAGGGCCTTTTTGTGCAGGTATCTATGATAAATTTGCAGATGCTTTTTCAAAAGCTGTCCAGAATCTAAAAGTTGGGGATGGCTTTAGAGAAGGGGTGGTACAGGTACTATTCATGGTTTTTATATCAACTGTTATCGTTGAATTACTGATTTTTCCTTCCATTCCTATATTTATTGATGTTGAAGTCAAAAGGGATGATGATATCTTATCAGCTGTCAAAATGTTATGTTGAATTCCTATTATCATCCATAATATATGAGTTGTGGCTTTGATGGTTTTCCATTTATACAGAAATTTTTTTCCTTCTGAATATATGATTTAGATTGGTTTTCCATAATTTATGCAGAAATTCTTTTCTTCTTTTTACTCCCTGCTTTTCATGTTTTTTGACAAGTTTGAACTTCATCTTAAGAATCATGACTGAAAGTTAACTTTTCGTTTTATCTCAGGGTCCTCTAATTAATGAAGCAGCCGTGAACAAGGTTAATTTTACTCTTGGAACTTTTGGTCTCTATCAACCACTATATCTGCATGTCTCCCAACTTTAAACATATTTCTCCATTATTTGATCACTTGGGATTTTGACAGGTTGAAACCTTTCTTCAAGATGCTGTATCAAAGGTGTGTTTTCTCACCTCTTCTGTTGATCATAATTGATGTTTACTCTGTTGATATGACTTCATATGGTGTTAATTAATTGTTATTTAATCTCAAGTTAGTACTGTCATGAATATGTGGCAGTAATTATATTTTGTAAATATGGCAGGATTCTGATTTGGGAATGTGTTAAGAAGTTGTAGTTTGGTTGCATATGCCTTTTCTTTCTTTATTTTCTCTCATTTATTATGCATGCAGAATAACATTCAGAATGGTCATAGCTGGCATTCGTCTATATTTTAATTAACAGTTGCTAAGTATTGTTTATGCTTTTAATTTTTTTGATATAGCACAGCTGTCATTTATGTGTGGAAATACTTACTGTATTACATCAAATCATTTCTCATTGATCATGATTTTATTGAAGGGAGCAAAAGTCCTTCTTGGGGGCAAAAGGCATAGCCTTGGAATGACCTTTTATGAGCCTACAATCATTAGTGATGTTAATAGTGAGATGCTTCTTTCCAGGTAAGTACTTGACTGAGATAATTTTGAAAGTCTACAAATCGAATTGATGTTGACAGATTTAGATTTGCTTACCAACTATATCCTTGCCAGTTATTGTTATAGATTAAAGATTGTGATTGTTCTTGGCATATGCTGCTTTTTAGGTTAGATTTTTAAGTGGCTGGGTTGTTATCTAGTGTGTTAAACTAATAAACAAGACGAGACAATGCTGTCTCTTTCTAGAATTTTCTTCATTTTTCTTCTTTCCAACAATTTCTTTCATCACCATTCTTGAGTGTTCCAACAGGAGAAATTTATTTGTGTTTGAGTTCCTTACTGTTGTAGATTAAAAAGACAGTCATTGGGCATTAATCCTTTTTCTCTGTTCTTTTGAATCAGTAGCATTGCTAGTTCTTTGAAAAATTTATAGTGAAACTGTATCTCTTAATTGATTGGTGGACATATTTTAATGTCTTGATATATACCACATTTGCTGCTGGAATTATGATTTCCCTGTTTCATGCCATATGTTTAACTTTACTGACTTTAGTGGTAATAGATTTCATGTCAAATGGACTTCAAGGACACCAATGTCATGATGGAAATATCTAGACCTGCAAATATTTGATTAGCTTTTCATATGCTTATACATATTATTCTTACCTCAGGGAGGAAGTGTTTGGACCTGTTGCACCACTTTTGCGTTTCAAAACTGAGGAGGAGGCTATACACATGGCTAATGACACAAATGCAGGTTCTTGTCATATCTGATCAGTGATTTGATGCTTTGATGTTATGTTTTGTCTTAAGGAAAGTGTTATGTGTGGTCTACGTAATTTTTGTGGTCTCCATTGATAACATATCAAAAATATGGATTCTAAGTTTATTGGTGGCCTACATCCTGCGGTGTCATGGTATGTATCCTAACAGTTTTTTTAAAAGAGGAAATTTATCACCATTCTTTTGCCTGTAAAAATATGCAGGGTTAGCTGCTTATATATTTACAAACAATGTTCAACGTACATGGCGCGTTTCTGAGGCTCTTGAATATGGACTTGTTGGCGTCAATGAAGGAATAATTTCAACAGAGGTGAGATTTACCTTGACTACATGTAAATAACATAAGTAACTGCTGATTGGCTTATTACTTGTTTGTTTCACTGCAGGTGGCTCCTTTTGGCGGTATTAAACAGTCTGGTCTTGGACGGGAAGGTTCCAAGTATGGGATGGATGAATATCTGGAAGTAAGTAAAAGAAAAATAGTCTTTCTAGCACATTTTAGAGGAGATTTGAACTACATCATCATTTTCTTCTTGTATATCTCTGGGCATGTTAGTAAATTTTAGGCTGGGCATCATTTTTCTGTGTTTTCAATCATATTAATCCATTCTTTCATACTATGCAGATCAAATATGTATGCTTGGGGGACATGAACCGAAATTGATGGGCGAGGTCAATACTCAGACAAATTACCAAGCTCATGATGTAAGTTCTAATCTAGTATCTCCTTTTATTTGACTTGTATTTCACAAATCCTAAAATGTGTTGTTTTATGCAAGAATAGGTGAAATAAAATGTCTCTGCTGCAGTTGAGTTGTAATTTGAAGATAAGCTAGGGGGGAGAAAGTGCGATCTCAAGCGTTTGATGTAAATGCGGAATTGAGCTATATAAATGGGTACTTCCTCTGAGATTGTATCTAAATAAGTGCAATAGCCGATGAGAAACTTTTGGTTATACTATGCATGTTTTGTGTCCTTAAACTTCTTTCTGTGGTAATAAAAAAGAAAAGACTTTTGTTCAGTTCCTTCATGTATGAACTGGGTTGTGAATTTGGATGACACTTTATATTACTCCCCAATTCTAGATTTCAACATTCAGCAACATAAATTGCAGGATCCATCAGTGTTTGATAGATCCGATAATATTATTAGATTAATATCACAGCTTGAACCCAAAGCAACATTCTGAGCCCTTGTCTGGGGTTAGATAACATTACATTATTGATATCTATAATATTTATTATAGACGGTATGTTGTTTAATAGGTTATAAGAGATTTTGGGATCAAAATTCATTCTGAATTTCTGAACCTTTTTCGACTATATAATAGTGTAGCAAGTAATTGAATGGAGACACCTAGCTAGCAAAAGTGATGTGAATTATAATGTCCCAATACTTATCACTAAAACTTCATTGTATATTAATAATTAATATATCATGTTATACCCTCTCTTGGGTAGCTCAAGCGTTAGAACGAGTGTTTAGATATGTGGTTAAGGCGTACAATCTTAGATTTGAATTTCCATGGCTTTCAAGATTTAAGTAGGGGGTTGTGATAGTAGATTGTTATGTTAGTCTCTTTCGAAAACTAGTTGAGGTGCGCCAAATTGGTTTCGGATACCTTAGTTATATATATCATGTTACTCACTAGTAATAAGCATAATATCATAATTAACAGTTACTAAAATCATATCATGTAGTAATAAATTATTTGTAAAGCTCTATGGTAGATAAGACAAGTCGGCAATAAATTATGTATTATCATAAATTCGAAATTGATGGTATATATTCTCTTGGAAGATCCACCATGTTTTTCTAAATTGAACAGTATATATAGTCTACTTACCGTTTGACATATTTTTCATCTCTATTATTCTCCCTATATCTTATCTAGGCCTAACCAGTCAAACCCACACAAATATCTGTACTTGTCATCATGTAATTTTCCAATCACTTTACGAATCAACTTAAAATATTACAAATTTATCGTTATGATTTTGGAACTTTAATTAGGGATTGTAGAGGAAATATAATCCATGAGAGGTTTGGTCAAAGTTTGTGATTTGTTCCCATTGAGGCTTGAATTCATGAACACTTATGGAGGTTGAATCCTCTCATAACCAAAAGGTTATTGTTTTCAATTTCTCAAAGATTATAGAGTTCAACGGAGACTTCAATCTCCAAACAATCGATACCTCTAAAGTATTCGAGAAGGATTCTTTTATAATGACTTGTACCAAAGTTTTCTGGCATGAGTCATTTTCTACCATTCTTTTAAACAACTTTCAGTAGGACTCTTAAATTTCTATATCTAGTAATTAATCCAAGATCGTGAAAAAAATATTCTGTAGCAAGGCAGTGATGATTTGGGTAACCATGAAAATTGGAAATGGATAAAAGCAACACACAGTCAAATCCCCAGAAGTAATAAAGCGAGAAACTAGATAGAAAAGAGAGAAGCTTTGTAAAGTAATTTTTTTTTTTTTTTTTTTTTTTAAAAGAAATGATATAAATTAACATGCGTATGGGTCCCCAAATTCACCTTCAAAGGAATATATTCATTTTAAAGAATAATTCTCTGAAGCACATAAAGATGCTTGAAATTCAAGCAAACAATGGCCTTAACACTAAGCCAACCTAGCTGCTTTTTCCACTGTATTTACGAGCAATTAAAATTACATATTATATATATATTTAACTAAAAGTTAAACCCTAACTTTGATTAATATTATAAAGGAGAGACAGCTAGCTATATGTTGTGACAATTGTATTCTAAAGAAGAATCTCCATATCAAAATCAAATTAATGCCCATCTCCAAGTGCCCAAATATAATTTAAAGCAGCGGTTGGCCATGGCGATATTAGAGTTCATTAGGTACATACCCACATGGCAAGTTCACATTTGATTGATATGGTAAGTTATTTTGTATGATTAAATGATAAAATGGGCATTGGAGAGAGGGGTTAATTATGTAATTAGTTAGAAATTTAATCAAAATTAATGGTAATAGAGAGAACAAAGAATAATATTGATGAAGTTCTAGATTGTTGCATGCAAGAAGAGAATCTTCGCTTTGTTTGTCAAAGAAGAAAGCATTTATTCCCATTTGGATTTGGGTAAACAGCACACAAGATTTGACAAAATCGTGGCATGTACAAGCTAGCTTTTTATATTGTTCTTACTCATCTGTTCTGATCTTCAGCAGGACCAGCGATAGTGTCAATTTATTTAGCGGTTAATTTGATCCTCATCCTATTCAAGTTCCTAATGCATATATGCATGCATATGGGACAATCTTCAATTCCACAAAAGTTAGAAGAAGCTGAGCCCCAACAAGCTTAGAACAAGGTAGCTTTAGAAGAGAGAAGAGGTACCCCTTAAAGTTATTTGGTCCATCTCTCATATATCTTGTTCTCCAGTGCTTTCTCACTTACAATAAAATTAAAAAAAAAAAAAAAAATTAATATCATTAATCTATATTTTTCTAATTAAACTCAATCTTCAACTTTGCTTTATTAATTTTCTTCTTTAGTTAGATTACCACAATAATCGTACATATATGTGATATCTCCAGGAGGTTAAGCATTGACTTGACTTGACTAGGTGGTAATCTGATTTATAAAAAGATTATTATTGATGTCATATTAAATTTGTGGCATGAAGTAAGATATATGACGTTTCTTCGAATTCATTCTAATGGAATAATATATATACATATACATTCATTTCTCTGTTGATAGGTACTATAATGTGTATATATGCAGATAATATTAAAGAACTTAATCAGTAATTAAGAACAAGAATTAATAATAAATTTGACTATGAAATAGTTGATGATAATTTGAATGTCCATGAATAATGTAATTATATATGTATATAGAATCTGAAAATCATATATGATAGATTTTTTGTTTTTGTTTTTTTGTTTTTTGTTTTTTTTTTTTTTGTGTGTCGAAGTATGATGGAAACCTTTTTCCTTGGTAATGACATAAAGCAAAGCAAAGTCTTTATTGTGTTCTAAGTATCATAGGTCTCAGTGTTATTAGTTCATGATAAGCTAAAAAGGGGATTGTACTATATATATAAAATTGGTTCAAAGATTTTGATGTGTTTATATTGATCAAGAGAAATGTTTCAATTAAAGAAGGGTAAGTGTATATAACACATTGGATATTATGATTGCGCTGAAACCATCAAGTGTCTTATTCACACATAGAACGAAAAAGCTACTTCACATGCAAGTCGACGAAGAATAAAACTGTAAAGATATACTCTTCTTTTGGTGATGGCAAAAGCTCGATACTCTCTACACATCTATATGTACAATTAACATACATATAAGGATCCTCTCTCTCTCTCTCTCTCAGATGTGATTATTGAGACTTTGATTTTCGTAATTTGTCAGGGGTATGTCAGTATATTAATGTACGTACTTCATGTTACTATTAAGAGCACATTTAAAATCATATCATGTAGTAATAAATTATTTGTAAAGCTCTATGGTAGATAAGACAAGTCGGCAATAAATTATATATTATCATAAATTCGAAATTGATGGTATATATTCTCTTGGAAGATCCACCATGTTTTTCTAAATTGAACAGTATATATAGTCTACTTACCGTTTGACATATTTTTCATCTCTATTATTCTCCCTATATCTTATCTAGGCCTAACCAGTCAAACCCACACAAATATCTGTACTTGTCATCATGGAATTTTCCAATCACTTTACGAATCAACTTAAAATATTATTATTCACACATTACAAATTTATCGTTATGATTTTGGAACTTTAATTAGGGATTGTAGAGGAAATATAATCCATGAGAGGTTTGGTCAAAGTTTGTGATTTGTTCCCGTTGAGGCTTGAATTCATGAACACTTATGGAGGTTGAATCCTCTCATAACCAAAAGGTTATTGTTTTCAATTTCTCAAAGATTATAGAGTTCAACGGAGACTTTAATCTCCAAACAATCGATACCTCTAAAGTATTCGAGAAGGATTCTTTTATAATGACTTGTACCAAAGTTTTCTGGCATGAGTCATTTTCTACCATTCTTTTAAACAACTTTCAGTAGGACTCTTAAATTTCTATATCTAGTAATTAATCCAAGATCGTGAAAAAAATATTCTGTAGCAAGGCAGTGATGATTTGGGTAACCATGAAAATTGGAAATGGATAAAAGCAACACACAGTCAAATTCCCAGAAGTAATAAAGTGAGAAACTAGATAGAAAAGAGAGAAGCTTTGTAAATTAATTTTTTTTTTTTTTTTAAAAGAAATGATATAAATTAACATGCATATGGGTCCCCAAATTCACCTTCAAAGGAATATATTCATTTTAAAGAATAATTCTCTGAAGCACATAAAGATGCTTGAAATTCAAGCAAACAATGGCCTTAACACTAAGCCAACCTAGCTGCTTTTTCCACTGTATTTACGAGCAATTAAAATTACATATTATATATATATTTAACTAAAAGTTAAACCCTAACTTTGATTAATATTATAAAGGAGAGACAGCTAGCTATATGTTGTGACAATTGTATTCTAAAGAAGAATCTCCATATCAAAATCAAATTAATGCCCATCTCCAAGTGCCCAAATATAATTTAAAGCAGCGGTTGGCCATGGCGATATTAGAGTTCATTAGGTACATACCCACATGGCAAGTTCACATTTGATTGATATGGTAAGTTATTTTGTATGATTAAATGATAAAATGGGCATTGGAGAGAGGGGTTAATTATGTAATTAGTTAGAAATTTAATCAAAATTAATGGTAATAGAGAGAACAAAGAATAATATTGATGAAGTTCTAGATTGTTGCATGCAAGAAGAGAATCTTCGCTTTGTTTGTCAAAGAAGAAAGCATTTATTCCCATTTGGATTTGGGTAAACAGCACACAAGATTTGACAAATCGGGCATGTAGAAAGCTTTTTATATTGTTCTTACTCACTGTTCTGATCTTCAGCAGGACCGTGATAGTCAATTTATTTAGCGGTTAATTTGATCCTCTCCTATTCAAGTTCCTAATGCATATGCATGCATATGGGACATCTTCAATTCCACAAAAGTTAGAAGAAGCTGAGCCCCAACAAGCTTAGAACAAGGTAGCTTTAGAAGAGAGAGAGGTCCCCCATTCATCTTCATCAACTTCACATACATCTAGCACTACCCCTAAAGTATTTGGTCCATCTCTCATATATCTGGTTCTCCATTGCTTTCTCACTTACAATAAAATTAAAAAAAAAAAAAAAATTAATATCATTAATCCATATTTTTCTAATTAAACTCATCTTCAACTTTGCTTATATTAATTTTCTTCTTTAGTTAGATTACCACAATAATCGTACATATTTTGATTCTCTCCAGGAGTTAAGCATTGACTTGACTTGACTAGGTGGTAATCTGATTTATAAAAAGATTATTATGATGTCATATTAAATTGTGTGCATGAGATATATGACGTTTCTTGGAATTCATTCTAATGGAATAATATTATATATATACATATACATTCATTTCTCTGTTGATAGTTACTATAATGTTATATATGCAGATAATATTAAAGAACTTAATCAGTAATTAAGACAAGAATTAATAATAAATTTGACTATGAAATAGTTGATGATAATTGAATGTCATGTAAATTATATATGTATATAGAATCTGAAAATCATAATAGAATTTTTTGTTTGTTTTTTTGTTTTTTGTTTTTTTTTTGGTGTCGAAGTATGATGGAAACCTTTTTCCTTGGTAATGACATAAACAAAGCAAAGTCTTTATTGTGTTCTAATTACATAGGTCTCAGTGTTATTAGTTCAGGATAAGCTAAAGGGGATTGTACATAAATATAAAATTGGTTCAAAGATTTTGATGTGTTTATATTGATCAAGAAATGTTTCAATTAAAGAGGGTAATGTGTATAATACTTTGGACATTATGATTGCGCTGAACCATCAAGTGTCTTATTCACACTAGAACAAAAAGCTACTTCATCAGCAAGCCGACAGAATAAAACTGTAAAGATATCTCTTCTTCTTTTGGTGATGGCAAAAGCTCGATACTCCTACACATCTATATGTACAATTAACATACATATAAGTCCTCTCTCTCTCTCTCTCTCAGATGTGATTATTGAGACTTGATTTTCGTAATTTGTCAGGGGTATGTCAGTATATTAATGTACGTACTCATGTTACTATTAAGAGAGAGAGAAGAGAGAGTATACTTTTGGCAAAAAGAGGTCTGCTTATACTAGAATAGGTACACTTTATTATTTGATTTTTGATTATTTTTATATTATGGAATGGAAGGTTAGCTTGTAATCTATGCTTTCTAGTAAAGCCATACCAACCATAACTGGCCATTCCCTCTTCTTCAAAAACGCACCCTATCTTCCCTATTTGCATCGCATTTGTTCTTGAATCTCTTGGTCTTCTCTCAGAGAGAGAGAAAGAGAAGAGAGAATGTTCCAACACAAAGCCCTCTACTATGAATTCTCATGATAGACCCATTTGTTCAAGGTGCTCTGGCCTTGTCCTCACCACTGACCCCAAGCCTCGTCTCCGTTGGACTGTTGACGTCATGAACGATTTGTTGATGCTGTTACTCAGCTTGGAGGCCCTGACAGTAATTACTTTACACTTAATCATTCTCTTCTTCTTATATATATTCTTTTTTTTTTTTTTTTTTTTTCTAAATTCTTATATTGTTTCATTGCTTAATTTGTTAAATTAAATTTTGCAGAGGCCACTCCAAAAACTATCATGAGAGTTATGGGTGTGAAGGGGCTTACGCTTTACCACCTAAAGAGCCACCTTCAGGTTTGAATTGAACACACAAGATTAGCTTCTTTCGGTCTTTTTCTTTTGTAAAACCATGCACTTTTGTGGTGTTTTCGATAACGAGTACTTGGCTTGATTTGATTTTTCTTTTCTTTTCTTCTTTTGATTAATATTATTGTTTTTCTTCTCTATTGCTTTAGAAATTCAGGCTCGGAAAGCAACCTCACAAGGAATTCAATGATCACTCCATAAAGGATGGTAAGAGTCTAAGAGAGACAGACAGGCCACTTTGCTTTCTAGGGTTTTCTAAGAGCTCTCATGCATCTTCCCATTTATTCTTTTAATACTTCTTCTTCGCCTTCTTCTTTTTTCCCCCTTTAAATAATTCGTTAATTTCTTTTTATGTTGTTCGTTTTAATGGCAGCTTCAGCATTAGATCTTCAAAGAAACACTGCATCTTCATCTGCCATGATAAGCCGCAGTATGAATGAGTATGTGCTAATTAATTAACCTCAAATTCTCTGTCTCTCTTTATATATATAAACACCAGCTACTAACTATATAGAAAATTTAAAATTATTTTCCAAAATAAAAATAACATGAATCAGCTAAGTTTTTCTTTTCATTCTTGCTCTTGTCTTGTGGGGTTGGGGGTTCGGGTATTTCTTGTGGCATATGTGTGTGTTACAGTAACTCACACATGGTTGATGCGATTAGGATGCACATGGAGGTTCACAGAAGACTTCAAGAACAAATAGAGGTAATTATAATATATAAATATATACACACACTCTCTCTCGTCTTCATCTTGAATCCTTAATGAAGGAACTGATTAAATTTTATATGGTAGGTGCAGAGACACCTTCAATTACGAATTGAGGCTCAGGGAAAATACATGCAATCGATTTTGGAGAAAGCTTGTCAAACCCTAGCAGGTGAAAACGTTAATGCTTCAGGAGGTTTTAAAGGAATGCCAAATCAGGGAGTTCCCGACGTGGGAACAATGAAAGAGTTTTGTCCTCCTCTCAACTTTCCACCATTTCAAGACCTTAACATTTACGGCGGTGAACAACTTGATCTCCAACACAACATGGACAGGGCATCGCTTGATGGGTTATTGCCAAATAATGATAATCTTTGTCTTGGAAAGAAGAGGCCTAGTCCTTATTGTGGAAGCGGCAAGAGTCCTTTGATTTGGCCTGATGATCTCAGGTTACAAGATTTGGGAACAGCACCAACTTGTCTTGGACCTCAAGATGATCCTTTCAAGGCCGGTGACCAGATTCAAATTGCACCTCCATCAACCGATCTCGATTCGATATCCGATATGTATGAAACAAAGCCAGTGCTCTCGGGAGATACCATTAGTACTGATCAGAAGAAATTTGAAGCACCAGCAACAGCCAAGCTTGAAAGGCCATCACCAAGAAGAACCCCAATTTCGACTGAAAGGATGAATCCTATGATGAATAATGGCGCCATGTCACAAGGAAGAAATTCGCCATATGGATGAGTCTTAACGTAGTTGTATGTAAGTCATGACCTAATTAAGTTCCCCAATTAAGTATGAGGTTTAGGGTTTAGTACTTCTTGAAGGTTTAGCAATTTATATTAGGGTTTCCTGCATCCCCTATGATATAAAAATGCCATGCATGGCATGGCAAACATCAATTATTCTGTTGAAGTGGTATTAATTAGTTAAACAGTAAATTTGTACTTTATTTATTTATGATCCTTGTCACTTGTTAAATCATACTCTTGATCTCTTGCTTCACATAATTTTATTGATCAAGAATAATGTCGACGTCATGTAGTATTGTTTGATCATCAAGCAGTCACTCGAGGATCTTTTTTTTCTTAAGTTTCTTACTTTCAACGTACGACTCTTCCTATATTAGCTTGCATGAAACAATATACCACATCTGCATTTAATATATATATAGATAAAAGAAATGCATTCTAAAATGGAAATTATAGATAAGAACTTAACCTCTACACATCAGTAAATTATGCATGATTTCAACTCTTGGCTTACACATGAATGATTGCGTAAGTACTAATATCCGCTGGAGATAATGTGAGATAACAGACTTACTAATTAATTTCGTTGGTAATGTATTCAAGCAGATTCTTCATTGGAATTTTTTTTTTTTTTTTTTTTTTTTGGCGGTGAGAGCCTTGGGATGTCTTCACATCCGAAGATATGAAACTAATTCCCAATCAGGGTTTTAGCCACGAGCTGCTTCCAATAAGATTTGAACCCATGACATTGTAGGTAAAGTTTGTCCACTGGAATCCAGTTACTAATTTGACCACAACTCGTGGTTAATTCTTCATTAGATCTATAAACACATGAAACACACACACACACATATATATATATATAAATGTAGATACATTCTTCTCTAAAAGGGACACTTGAAGACCATCAAAATGATTGCCTAGAGTTAATATGAACGTATGACAACAAAAACATACGAAGAGAAAAGAAATTAAAGAAAGAAAAACATGCTGAAAATCTGAGCGTTTTGTGCAGCTCAGCTGATGATGGTAGTGACTTCTCAATGAGAATATCGACGTGGGTCTCCATATTTTTCATATTGCTCTTGCTAATGCAATAACCTTTTTAAATGCTTTAACTTTTTGGTTTAGTTGCTTGGCTTCGAGTTAGTTATATTCCTATCATTGCAGAGACAAAACTATTGGGAAAATCAAACTACAAGATTAAAAATAAATAAATAAATCTCATAATTAATCCCCACCGAGGCAAAAGATTTAGGGTTTCGGGGAACACATGCATGGAAGTAGTATAATTAGAAAGCAAAAAGGGGTTAATTCTAAAACACTCAACCTTAAATAAACTGTGAAGGAAGATTGATATTGAAGCTCTTCTTTAACTTGAACAAAGAAGAATTATCTTATAAAAAACCGACCGAGAGTATCACTCTTTTATGCTCTCTTTTTTCTTCTTTAGGTTCTCAATATTCTTTGAGTATCAAATGAAGAAGACATATAGGGTATGCATCATCATTTTTGTACTTTTGCCTGGAAATCTCACACTTTTCATCAATAGTTTCATTGATATTAATACACACTGGTGAATTAAAGATTAATTTAAATTGATGTAAGCAAATTAAATCTGTCTCGCTCTCTCTTTATCATTAGATTGGTAATTAAATTATATTAGTCTAAGTCTAAGATTAGATCCATGCAGTCTGCAGAGGTTTAATTTTTCTTTCTGGTGGAGAAAAGATGATGGCGCCACTAACTTTATTGGTTGCAGAGAAAAATTTATGACTGCAAGTTGTCAAGAAAGCTCCCTCTCTCCACAAACCTGCATACACACACACTCACAAAGAGAGAGCGAGAAGCAAAGAAAGAAAGAAAGAAGAAAAAGCTAATAAAGCCTAAAGGGGAGGAAGAATACAACGCACTCCCACGAGTACACATATCGAGGAAGCTTCTATCTTTATGTCCATAAAGTTGTAAACCCTCTTACCTTTAAAAACCAGATGCATCCAATTTCATTTACATATAATTCTAAATTATATCTTCATNAGATACATTCTTCTCTAAAAGGGACACTTGAAGACCATCAAAATGATTGCCTAGAGTTAATATGAACGTATGACAACAAAAACATACGAAGAGAAAAGAAATTAAAGAAAGAAAAACATGCTGAAAATCTGAGCGTTTTGTGCAGCTCAGCTGATGATGGTAGTGACTTCTCAATGAGAATATCGACGTGGGTCTCCATATTTTTCATATTGCTCTTGCTAATGCAATAACCTTTTTAAATGCTTTAACTTTTTGGTTTAGTTGCTTGGCTTCGAGTTAGTTATATTCCTATCATTGCAGAGACAAAACTATTGGGAAAATCAAACTACAAGATTAAAAATAAATAAATAAATCTCATAATTAATCCCCACCGAGGCAAAAGATTTAGGGTTTCGGGGAACACATGCATGGAAGTAGTATAATTAGAAAGCAAAAAGGGGTTAATTCTAAAACACTCAACCTTAAATAAACTGTGAAGGAAGATTGATATTGAAGCTCTTCTTTAACTTGAACAAAGAAGAATTATCTTATAAAAAACCGACCGAGAGTATCACTCTTTTATGCTCTCTTTTTTCTTCTTTAGGTTCTCAATATTCTTTGAGTATCAAATGAAGAAGACATATAGGGTATGCATCATCATTTTTGTACTTTTGCCTGGAAATCTCACACTTTTTATCAATAGTTTCATTGATATTAATACACACTGGTGAATTAAAGATTAATTTAAATTGATGTAAGAAAATCAAATCCGTCTCGCTCTCTCTTTGTCATTAGATTGGTAATTAAATTATATTAGTCTAAGTCTAAGATTAGATCCATGCAGTCTGCACAGGTTTATTTTTTCTTTCTGGTGGAGAAAAGATGATGGCGCCACTAACTTTATTGGTTGCAGAGAAAAATTTATGACTGCAAGTTGTCAAGAAAGCTCCCTCTCTCCAGAAACATGCATACACACACACTCACAAAGAGAGAGCGAGAATCAAAGAAAGAAAGAAAGAAGAAAAAGCTAATAAAGCCTAAAGGGGAGGAAGAATACAACGCACTCCCACGAGTGCACATATCGAGGAAGCTTCTATCTTTATGTCCATAAAGTTGTAAACCCTCTTACCTTTAAAAACCAGATGCATCCAATTTCATTTACATATAATTCTAAATTATATCTTCATGATATCACATTGAATTCATTAAGTAATTTATAATGAGCTCTTAATAGATTGTGTTAGCTAGTGATTCTAGGCACATCGATCTATGCAAAATGTAAAATCATTTGCATTCCTCGGATACTGAAATTCTGCTGCATGTATTGTTCTGGGTTTGGGTTTTCTAGTTTATGATAAAAAATTTCTAAACAAAGTACACTCAAGAAGCTTCTTTTGTCCACATCTCATCCCCACTTCTTTCTCTCTCGCTTTTTCTTTCTCTGGATAGACTATAGAAAATCAGATTGTTACTGTAACATGCATGCCGTTTTATTGTATTTTTTTTAAAACTTGTTTCCTAGCTCTCTCTCTTTTTAAAGAAAAAAGGAAAAGAAAAAAGAAAAAGATAGCATGAAAGAATTGATAGGCATACAAAACTCTATCCACCTAGATTGTCTTTCATATGATTTCTCCATTAATCATCCCTTGTATATATATGCATGCTTAACTAATAACTAGTGCTTAATTAATTTCCTTTGAATAATGGCGCCACACTCGATGATGTATCAAGTCATTGCTTACACATCCCTCTATATATAACCATGACCATGTATATATTCACTTGATTTCTTAGCGTTGGTGATTATATTTTATTCTTCTTGGAAGAAGTTTTCGATGGAATAGGTGCTTCAGTCATTTGTACACTCATCTTTAATACAATTTCATATTTATGCATGTATTTATTTATCTTTTTTCACCTATCCGTGAATAGCCGGTTCTAAAGTAAACTAGAAATTTTGATGAGTTGAGTTCTTGTAAACTGGAATTTGGTGTTGTCATCTAGTAGCCCGAGAGAAACTTATATGGAACAGTCTTATCAGGTCTTTTGGTTAACGTGGTGAGACCGTCCAATAACAAAATAAAATATAGAGTTAGTTTTTATTACCATTCATCATGGTAGTGGTTATTGATGAATAATAAAGGGTAGTGATTGAACAATCGTGGTAATAAGTAAATGAAAGAGAAAATTTGATATGAGTAATGCTACGGTCACCGAAGATTTCGCACCGAATCTGTGCACCGAATGACGTGACAAAATCCTGATCGTTTATTCATTATCAGTTAATATTAATCAACGGTCAGAATTTTGTCATATCATTCGGTGCATAGATTTCATGCACAACCTTCGATGGCTCTATTATTTTCGATTTGATATGTGTGTAATAACACATACCACTATATTATTACAAGGTCTCATCACACGTCAACTAAGTGACATGGTAAGACGGTCCACATAAATATATGAAACTCCAACTCCATACATGAGTGTCCAACAGAGGATCAAAACTAATGGGCTTCAGTCAGTTATATAAGCGGGCTGAGAACTTCCACATTTAGCCCATTCCTCATGGGCCTTATTATTAGGGATCTCCATTGATTACTGGCCCAAAAACTCGAATGCAGTATTCAGGGACTCGCCTTAAAACATGGGATATCGCTACAATAATGGGATAAAAAAAAAATCAGAGCCCTTTCATTTAGAATCCAAAGACTTTGTAGGGCTAGTCACAAAGTAGTCATGGTGATGGACATGTAGAATATTCAGGTAAAATTGATCCACCATATAATATTAATTAATGAAATTAAATGATTTTAAAAAATAACCCATAAATGATAAAGTTTTTAAATGAATATAGGAATAATTTAATACTGTCTATTTTATCATGTAGGTTTTGGGCTTCGAACACCCTCATGGGTATCTACATGACTAAAGATTATTGTTTATCGTTTTTTAAATATTGTAAAGTTTGATTAGAGACTCCAGTTTCGAATTCAGGTTTGTAAAGCAAGTTTAAGGAATTTCTGAATTACAAAAAAAGGGAAAAACATCTAGCAAGTTAAACATTAAAGAACACATCAAAAAATAAATGTACATTTTTGTTTCATTAGAAATTTGGTAAGACAAATAATGATCATGTAAATAGATGGAAAAATCCATTATTCAGAACCAAGCCCAAAGGTCATTCTCTTATAATGACTGTAAACCAACTACATATTACACTAGCAAAATATGAATACACCATAAACCCTCCAATATTTTTGAAATTAGAACCCCAAAAACCCAAAAGATTACAAGTTAATTAATGTTACAATGTAGTTAATCAATGATCATGGGGAATTTTCATTATCTAGGAGATCAGCTGGTGGTATGAAATGGTCTATAGAAAGCCCTGGCACATTGAACACAACATCATCAATTCTCCAGATTTCTTCCATTCTTGTTCTATTATGTTGCATGGACAACTCCCCGAACCGGAACACCGTCGCAATTGACCGTCCCTGGTGAGCGATCAGTACACCATCTACATCTCGATAGTCGCCAATACTACTTCCGATGGTAGTCTCCCAATAAATAGTATCGTCATTGTTATCAGGAGTCTGAACCCTAGTGAGATGCGAATCCTCTAGGTATATTAATAGGCCACTCTTTTGGCAAAAATAGCCATATAATACGTGCCTAATCACCTCGGCTGGACCCTCGCTTCTTTCTACCACGGCTTCACGATCTGCTGCTACTTTCAATACGAAACATTCATCATCTCCTATCCGTTTCTCCCCCAAGCATTGTGCTTTGTCAAACAAGCTGGCTGTTGTCTTTGGATCTAGCCCCTGAACCAATTGATTAATTAAGTAATGACTTTGTTTAATTATATGAACTTAATTAATTGAAAAAAAAAAAAAAAATGGGAAACTTCAAATTAACTAAAGTTGAAAGATAGGGATCAAATCCGCTGAGATTGTTTACTTTAAAGATGTGAAACATGAATTCATATAGAAAAAACAACAAAGGGAGAAAAGCCAAGAAAAGTGAGGGCAATAATGCAATAAATCCAATACTAAAGTGAAAAAGCAATCAAAGTATATGCGGCAATCCCAAGAAGTATATGTAAGATTGTATGAATGTGATCTAAGATGACATCAGAAAGAAAACCACGTGGAAATGGAATGAAACCCTAACTCAGTGAGTCATGAGTTGCAGTACTGTTCAATAAAGAAATATATTTATGTCCGGTAAAGCATGGGACAGTTTCTCTATCATTGTCAGCAATTTCTTGGGATTGTGATTGTGAGTTTGTTCATCTGTCTCTATCTATGTATTGTTTCGCACTAAAGTTATTTGAATATTTGGGTCGCTCTTTGCTTCTTTATTGAGATAACACAAATTATAACTTTACTTGCTTAAAGTTTTCGATTCATATCTAACTTTAATTAAATTTGGCACCAGCCCCATAATCATAATCATGTACTTGAATCATTTGAAATCTTTATATGTACTATAACTCGAGATAGATTAAAGCTTTAGTTATTTAATGGTACCTGGATTATGCGACGTAGGGGGCGTTGGGGGCCTTTGGCTGCATGAGTGCCAAGCCAAGAGGTATGTCGCCAGACAGTTTTTGAGTCGCTACCGGCGATGACTTTGTTGTCTCCGACGACTAACTCAAGAGACCACATGCCTGGTAACATTTGCCAAAGAACGAAGCATCCACTTTCTCCAGTTCTTGTTCCCAAGCTTTTCACATTCTTTCCTGAAGAAATCTCTGTTTCACAACAAATCATCTTCACCGTTCCTGTTGCATACATGTTTTTTGCACATTTTTGTTGCTTTAAGCAGCCCGTTGATGCCAAATATTGCTGTATGATGTAATGTGCACTCGAAGTTTCCTGCAAAAGAGGCACCAAACAAAGTCAGAAAAACAAAAAACGGGAGCAAACTAACATTAAGTATAACTTAATTGTAAACTTACGATGGGGATGTCTTTGATATGAATGTGATGAGTTGGGTGATTCACAAGAGGAATAGGAGCTAAAGGACAACCCAAGACGCCGAGCAAAAGCCTTAAATCTTGGCGTTTAGGAGGAATATTAGTATTATATAATGACATAGAAAGATTATTATTGTTGTTGGCTGATGAAATGCCTTTCTGCATGCGAAACCATTCTCGAATAACTTCCCAAGAGCTCTCTTTCTTGTTTGCTTCTTCTTGCATTTCAGGATCAGGACCTTCCAACAATGGCGTTAGAGTTTGTGTGCACCATCTTTGCTGCTGCTTCCTTCGAGCTCTAGAACCCATGATTTATGAGTAAGGTGAAGAAGAAAAGAAAGAAAAGTGAAAACAATAATTGAAGATAGATGTTGATTATGGATAAAGAAGAGAAGGTGCGGGATATATATGAGTATGAAGAAGAAGAAGGGGAAAAGAGAGAGTAAGACTTTCGCTAACTTATTATGAGCAAGTTGTAGAAGAGATAGATAGAGAGAGAGAGAGAGAGAGAAGACAAAAGAGACAGCTTATCTGTCCAACGGCAGAGAATGGTATAATATAATAGAGACTCGCATGTTGGGCTGTCTATTGCTTTATTCTTTTTTTTCTTTTTAGACTTCTCTCTCTTGTCGTTTTATTTTCATTTCTATTCTCTTCTCCATTTGCCTTCTCTTAATTTACCCTTAATCTCTCTTTCTTGGAATATGCAATCCCATCCCACATATTATCTTATTCATTATTATGATAATTAGGTGATAAATAATCAATCTATGTGATAAAGACATAATGTTACACACCTCACTACCTAACCCTTATATCATAGTATGAGACTTTATTATTATACCATAAATGAAATGCATTAATCATAAAGTTTTACAATATGTGATAAAGGGTCGATCTAAGTATATCATTGTAGTATTATTAGTATATCGATTCAAAGTTTAGATTATATGATATAATAATTAAAATATGATAACATTCCTAGTAATATAGTAATCTACATTATTAAATCATTTATGAACATGGGAATCCTAAGTAGGTAATTAATATTAGTATCTTAGATTGGTCTTGATTCTTGTCGTGCTCCAAGTAAAACATTTCCCAATGTGGACCTAGTCGATCACATATAATATAACCTTGTCTCTTTCTTGAATGTAACAAAAGATTAAAAACAAATTTACTATGGTTAATTTATTAGACAAATGATCAAACTAATGAGCTAGTAATTAATTAATCAAATATTACTCTCCATGTGGACTTCATTTTAATGAAGTAATTCAGGTAGCTATAGAAAAATGAAGAGAGAGATGGAGTGGGAGTTGGAGGGCCGGCAGTTGGGTCCAACAGCAAAGTGGTAAAGATATTGGAGGGCCGGCAGGCAGAATGGTGGAGGGTCGGGTGGGTATCAGAGAAGTGATGGCATTGTATTGTACAAGTGATCTTTCAAGCTAAGCTGCTGCTTTTCTGGTAGAGGTTGAGGAGTGTTTTTCATTACTTTTGTTTGGAAAAGAAATACGCTACAGTACTACATCGTTTTGAAGGCTCCACCACCATCACTATATTAGTGTTACCACTCCATATTTGTATCATGATCTAATGATCGATCTAGATAAACATGTTATTCTGTGTACAGTAACATATTCATTTCTTGTTGGGTCCTCAGTAATCATATATGAAACTAATTTAGCACATGTTAGAGACTAGTGCTTTAGCTACTCCATCTCTGTCGTCTGATTGATAAAACTAATAAGATTGACCCACTACCTTAATATTCTGTGTAAATGAGGACAGATTATGGTGATGAATTTAGCTGATGTGGTTTAAAAGTATTCCATCTTCTCTTTTTCTTGGAAAGGAGATTAATTAATAGTTAATTATGGTACAAGAAGTGGTCAAAGGCATAGAAATCCATGAAATTAATATGGTAAAACAAGGAAAAGAAAGTAACAAAGTTAAACTCGATCGATCAAGGCTTTTGGTTACTCTTTATCTTCTTTTTCAAGTTACCATGTGTTTATCCTTTTGATGCATTAAGGGCGCAGATTATTATACAATCATTGCATAATTTCGGAGAAAAGGGTTCATTTGGTAAACCTCTCCGCACACTAAACAATGAAATTTTGTCTCTTCTCAATATAAATGATCCAAACTTTGAATCTTGCTCCATCACTCCAAAATGCTGCTTAGTGGGAAGATAAAGTTTTCTTGATTTATTAAATAATTTTGTGCATTGGCATAGATAAAGTTTTGTTAATGGAGAAGATGAGAAAAAGATGGCGGGGTCAATTAGAAATCACTGAGATTTCTAGTTTTCTCTTGGAATATTTTCGTAACCAGCTGTAGCTTATATAAATAGAGATTCTTCTTGGAAAACCCTTTACATTTGGACTTCAATTCCAGGAAGCTTGTAATGTATAAAAGTCTTTCCATTTGTCAGTGAATCTCCTCGATGGCTTTTCATTAATGGAGATGAAGCTGGCGCCTTGGCAGTACTAAGAAAACTTGCATTATTTGTTGGTAATTTGTGAAGAAAGACAACGTGATTTAGGAAATTGTATAAATCTTATTCTTCATTTCTCTATAATAAATGCTTTCTTGTCAGTAGAAGTAAACGTTTTCATTAATTTTGTCAGTAGATATGAACTTTAAAATGGTATATATCCGAGACAATTTGTTTTTTGTTAACTTGGTACTAGGGTTGTTTTTTCTAGCTACATTTGAACTGCCTCATTCTAAAATTTCGGAATTAGTAACCCAGAATTACTGCAAGTTCTCATTTAATTACATATGGAGGATTCATCAACTCCTCTGTTCTCCGTATCCAACTCAGGGGATGATCAAGTAACAGAGTTTGACTCCCTGGACAAAATGATTGAACAAAGTTTGCGAGGTTTTGGGTGTATCCANGGTCCTCAGTAATCATATATGAAACTAATTTAGCACATGTTAGAGACTAGTGCTTTAGCTACTCCATCTCTGTCGTCTGATTGATAAAACTAATAAGATTGACCCACTACCTTAATATTCTGTGTAAATGAGGACAGATTATGGTGGTGAATTTAGCTGATGTGGTTTAAAAGTATTCCATCTTCTCTTTTTCTTGGAAAGGAGATTAATTAATAGTTAATTATGGTACAAGAAGTGGTCAAAGGCATAGAAATCCATGAAATTAATATGGTAAAACAAGGAAAAGAAAGTAACAAAGTTAAACTCGATCGATCAAGGCTTTTGGTTACTCTTTATCTTCTTTTTCAAGTTACCATATGTTTATCCTTTTGATGCATTAAGGACGCAGATTCTTATACAATCATTACATAATTTCGGAGAAAAGGGTTCACTTGGTAAACCTCGCCGCACACTAAACAATGAAATTTTGTCTCTTCTCAAATAAATGATCCAATCTTTGAATCTTGCTCCATCACTCCAAAATGCTGCTTAGTGGGAAGATAAAGTTTTCTTGATTTATTAAATAATTTTGTGCATTGGGATAGATAAAGTTTTGTTAATGGAGAAGATGGGAAAAAAGATGGCGGGGTCAATTAGAAATCACTGGGATTTCTAGTTTTCTCTTGGAATATTTTCGTAACCAGCTATAGCTTATATAAATAGAGATTCTTCTTGGAAAGCCCTTTCCATTTGGACTTCAATTCCAGGAAGCTTGTAATGTATAAAAGTCTTTCCATTTGTCAGTGAATCTCCTCGATGGCTTTTCATTAATGGAGATGAAGCTGGCGCCTTGGCAGTACTAAGAAAACTTGCATCATTTGTTGGTAATTTGTGAAGAAAGACAACGTGATTTAGGAAATTGTATAAATCTTACTCTTCATTTCTCTATAATAAATGCTTTCTTGCCAGTAGAAGTAAACGTTTTCATTAATTTTGTCAGTAGATATGAACTTTAAAATGGTATATATCCGAGACAATTTGTTTTTTGTTAACTTGGTACTAGGGTTGTTTTTTCTAGCTACATTTGAACTGCCTCATTCTAAAATTTCGGAATTAGTAACCCAGAATTACTGCAAGTTCTCATTTAATTACATATGGAGGATTCATCAACTCCTCTGTTCTCCGTATCCAACTCAGGGGATGATCAAGTAACAGAGTTTGACTCTCTGGACAAAATGATTGAACAAAGTTTGCGAGGTTTTGGGTGTATCCAGTTAAATATTACAATTCCTCGTTTAGATATTTGGAGGATTTATCAACTCCTCTGTTCTCCAAAGATCAGAAACCAACTCAGGCGTTGACCAAGTAACCATGTTTAACTCCCTCGACTCCTTTTACAAAATTGTGGGTTTATGAAATCAAGATAACGTGATGTTACTGTAATCTCTATGGATTCTAGAGGATTTAGGAAATCGTAATTGACGTAGAACTTCTTTCGGATGAATTTATGGAACGGACTGAACGTCAGAAATCCATAAATAAAACTCAAAGGTTCTAAATGAGTATATCTCATTCAAACGGTTATAACTTTTGATTCGGGAAGAGTTACGGGGCCTGTAAAATATTGTTGGAAATCTTATTTCAAACCCGTTGATGTGGCAACCACTTTCGTCGGTTGGAAGTCGTTTTCAGGGTCAAAATCCACCGTTTTGATGTGTTTTAGAGCTGTTTTAGTTATTTTTATTTTTTTCCCATTTTATTTTAGGTTTTTTTGTTTTAATTAATTTAGTTTTTGCTTCCTTTTATTATTAAGAGCCTTATTAAGATTTGTTGTCACCTTATATAAACTTATTTTTCGTTTTGGATGTTATTCAACGAATTATTCAAACTTATTTAAGATTTTAAGACATAGGTTTATGTGATTAAGACTTATTATCATTATAAAGGTATAACCTTATTTTATCATGCTGTCGCTGCGTCAAAAATGTTGTTTAGCTTGCAGTCGTCTCTATAATTAAGAGTAACTTGCTCTTTAACTCTCCCTAATTAATGCTTTCATAAATTTAGTCTGTAGAAGTGAACATTAGAATTTAGAATGATGCGATCGCATGAAATCCTCTAAAATTTCCTGTAAGTTCTGATTTGCAAATGGAGGATTCATATACTCCTCTGTTCTCCGACTCCAACTCGGCCGATAATCAAATAACACCGTTTGACTCCCTGGACAAGATAATTGAACAAAGTTTGGGAGGATTTGGTTGTAGCCAGTTAATACATGTCCTTCTTTTGTCAATATCATTGATTTTTATTCACAACAAACATTTCTTAGCGTCTATACGAATGCAGAGCCCACATGGCATTGCACAAACACTTTACATGCAACTCAAGCTCCAACATCTGTACTCTTCCCAAGAGTGAATGGGCTTAGGATGGTTCTTCGTACGCCACAATTGTATCAGCATGGAGCCTGGAATGTGCTAGCTCAATCATCAATAGCTTGCCTTCATCATGCTTCTTAAGGGATTGCCTATTGTGTATGGATTTGTTCTCGCAACTCATGGCGATTCATCTCTTGGTCGTAAGAAATT